CAAAGCCTCTCAACCAAAGAACTCCCTACTGCTGTGTCATTGACACTGCGAGGCCGCTCGCCCTCCTCTCCTCTCGCTCCCGCCGCCTATTGAGCGCTGCGCCCGCTCCATTGTGCCAAACTGCAACTGAAAACACCGATGGGGCAATAATCACCTCCCTGCATCTCCTCCGCTTGCTCCATCCATCCCTCTCGCCACAGGCGACCAAGCTCCTCGCCGACCCTGGCTTTAGCAAAATGGGTCCCTGTCCTCAAGCGCTTGCCCCACGCCTGCCTCCGAGGCCGGGACTTGTTGCATCCCTTTTAGAGTTTTATTAGTTACCCTGGAACACGAGCAAACTAAAGTACATGTGGGGAAGAAGCTCACGCCTACAGTTTGGTCCTGCAGCCTGCCAGTTACAGAGGTAATTTTTACACTCGCTTCCAAATCGGAACGAGCATCTCTGCACCTCAGAAAGGTATCCCTGTATAAACATATAGAAGTATCGATTTTGCTGTAGCTTGAAGATGTTGATCATTTATTACAAAAATAAACGAATAAATACAACAATATATTGTTGCTTTCAACAGGATAAATATTTTACAAATATATAATTTAAAAAACAAATTTAATTGTTAAAATTATTTAAAATAGTACACTTATTGATAAAATTATCAATAGTATATACTGCATTTCATATTAGAACCAATTATTCTCTAAACGTTCCATTTAAAACCATTCATACAAAACAAATTATGAGCATTGTAATGTGCAAACACGAGTCACTACAGTAAAGCAAAGGGTTCTGTAAAGATCACTTTCTGATAGGAACCGCTGCATTTTAAAATCAAAGTAGAGGTCTTTGCTAAATTTCGGAAAATACACAGACCAACAGCAGTGAGATGACTATTTTGAATACACCTGAAAATGATTTATTGTGTACAGACTCGACGGGGGAAGGATAGGATGTAAGAAGACTGGGGCGTAGTAAAGGATCACAGAATATGAAAATGTAAACTATAAATAATCACATCTCGGAATTACCCAGTCTGAGCAAACATAACTTTGTAAAACATTTGGCTCTCCTTTAGGTAGAAAAAAAAAAGACTAAGGAAAATGATGCCGACTGCGTTACCAAGCACAGAACACTGATATTATAAATGAATACAATTACTAAATTCATTAAGAGATCTGGCGATATATAACAATATTTTCATTATTTACACATGTAACAATATAACCCTTAGCGCAAACCCTCTCATTTATTATCTACCTCTTGCTATCTCAGAGACTCACAACCCTGAAATTCCTAAATACATTCAAAGGATTCAGTTTCTCGGGGGCGGGGGAGGGGGCGGAGGGGCGGTGGGGGGTAGCGCCCATGGCTTCACTTTTTGTGCATAACAAGTCCACGGAACGGGCACATTTTGCCAGTCCCTTCGACCACACGTTACTCCTCCAGCCTAACCCCTAGCTTTTCGGAGGCAGCAACCCGCAAAGGTTGCCTTTTAATAGAAACCAGCGTGAAGCCTAACGTTAGCTCTTTGTTGCCATCCAAATCGAGTAACCAAATACCGCTCCGAAATTTAAATAGACGTTCTCCGCGGCTAATAAAATCGCTCCCCTTCGTGTGTGAAAACAGGATCCCACCTGACGTGTCGGTGGTACCCGGCCCCCGGAGGGGGGCCCGGCCAGCCCGCCTGCCCGCCAGCCCCCGCCCGACCCCTTTTCCCTACCCAGCAGCAAAATCAGCCAGCAGCTTCTGCTAAAACGAACAAAAGAAAGAGCGTCCTTTACCCTTTCGGGTTCTCTTTCCCTTTGTTGGTTTGGCTTCTCCCCATCCCGCTTTTTTTCCTCCGTGTCAGTAGGGCCTTTTGGATTTCACAAATCAAACCGACGGTGATATTTACTACGAGCTGGTGTTAAAATAATGCATCCCGGTGCCCGGCTCTCAGGTTGGCTTTGATTTATGGAGTGACACAAGGCCTATCTGAAAGGAAGAAATGCTTGTTGTTCCTGCAGCAGTTTTCTGGGGGTTTAACCCCTGCCTCAACAGTACTCAGAGAAGCAAGGCGAGGGAGGGGGTGCGGAGGAGGGGAGGAAGAGGAAGGTGAGGAAGAAGCCCAGGGGCGAGCTGGATCATAAAAGAAAACCTTATTCTCCAGCAGACTATCAGTGGGGGCAGGTAGATGCATTAGATGCAGCTCTCTACTTCCCATAACCTCCCCGCTGCAAAATGAAGAGAGTTGAGACGGTCATTCACTTGTCTCTATATTGCAATAAATTATAGTGGATAAGTATGAGAGGTCAGCTAGTGCATCTATTGGCATCTCCAACATTACTGACACGCGTGTGTTTGCAAAGATGGCATGGTAGCGCTATGGCAGAGTGGAGGAGAAAACTAGGCTACACCACTTCACACCCCATAGAAAAACCCTAAAACAACAACAACAGCCACAGCAACAGCAACAACAGAAATGGTGAACTAGGCAGACAGCACGTAGGATGTTGAAAGTATTATTCTATATATTCAGTCAGAAAAAAAAAAGAACGTACCTTTTCCTTAAATTATAAAGATAAATTAAATACAAATATTAATACATACATAAAATGCATAAAAATAAATTATAGCTTAGCCCCCCTTCCCCTTCTTTGCCCCCCCAAGCCTCAGTTTGGAAAACGAGGAAACTAGACTGAACTTTTGGAAACATCCCTCTCAGCACCGGCCACGCGGGACCAGAGGACACGCTCAGGTATCACCCGCGCCCAAGTGCCAGCCTAAACTGAGCCGACACAGCCCTTTGTGGGAGAAGGTGGCCTTTGGTGATCTCTAGTCTCGCCGTCCTTCCCGGTGACACAGGGTCCCCGGGTTGATGGAAGGGGCCGCGGACACGGGCTCGGAGGAGGGGCGGGAAGGGGGTGAGCCCCGCGCCGGGCCGGCAGCGGCAGGGGTGCGATGGGGGCACTGCCGGCGAGCACAGGGCCGTGCGGCCGGCAGATCGGACCCTCGGTATTTCTCTCCCTTCAGCAGTATATCCCTTCAGAGAACCTTTTTTTTTTTTTTTTTTTTTTTTTTTTGACATGTTTATGCATCAGACACAGACTATTTCATTCTAACAAATTTATTTTCTCAATCAGCTCTTACGGAATCACTACTCAAATTAAATTACAATCAAATTATCACATCAAAAGATACCCTTATTACCTAACAACTGTCCATATTTTCAATTCATTTTGATTTGTGCTCGTCTGAAAAAAACACGTAATACAAGATCTGGGGAAAAAATAAATTACCGTTTTGCAGCAGTTCATAGGTATTCTGAATAAAATATTAAAAGAAGTCATTTAATGAAAATATAAAGCAAATTTTTTTTTAGATCAACAACGGATCTAACAATTCTATATTGCCGTCTTTTTGAAAAGTCTGTTTATTAAAACCTACCAAAAACACTGCTTGGAAATGGCAGTATTATATAATCACATCCACAGCACCCATTCAATCAAAGTTGGCAACGGATTTAGGAGAGGAGAAGTTCAGATAAGTGCAGCTGCAGATGCTCAGTCCTTCTAAATCCCTTTATCTGAATCAGTCCAGAAATAAAAAATAAAAATATTAATAAAAAAAATATTAGCAGTGGATTTTTTTTTTTTATGACTCTTCCATGATGATTGGCAGCCGTCAGGAATAGGACTTTGACAGCCCTAAATTATTTCCCTTTCTCTCGCTGGTTCCCTTAATTCATGCAAAGTCCTTCTACAGAGCTCGAACTTTAGGTACCAACAACATCTCCTTCTCCCACGCTCCCCCCGGCGTCTGTCCCTCCCACCTTTCTCCTCAGGGTCAGTTTTATCGGCGTGCGGGCATTTATTTCCATATTTTTGTTCTATAGCTATACCTATATATATAGATAAATATATATATATGTATTTGCTTCCCTATTCAGCCTGCTTGTTTTCAGTGCTGTGTGCATATTTTTTCTTCCTGGAAAAAGTGGCCCGTTTCATTTTGCAGAACGTATAGATATATAGATATATATGTTTTCAGAGTGGATGTCTGCCTTGCACCAAAATTCTACGGTTTGGCCAAAAAAACCAGGGCGCTGGAATGCAGCAGGCACCCTCTGATTAACCAGATTATTTTGCTTCTGCTTCCCTTTTTTGGATTGCTCCCATTGAAAAAAAAAATAAAAAAAGAGGGAGAGAGAAAGGAGAAAAAAAGTTTCCGTGATTCATAGAAGAGAGCCCTTTTGGGGATAGGGGGAAGAGTGCTAGGAGAGGGGGGAGGAGGGGAGAGAAGAGGTGCAGACAGTGGTGGTCCTTGCTGCGAGAGGGGTATAATTTGGAGAAAAAATAAAAACAAAATAAAATTAAAAAAAATCCCAAGCCCACCCACTCAAGCCCTCTTCCCACAACCAACCAACCCCTCGGCACATCTGCAGTTTTGGTGCATTACGCATCTCCACCCCGTTTTCCCAACACGGTCTAAACGCTCTCGCTCGGATCGACCTTCTCCACCGCTCCCTATTGGTATCGATCTTATATATATATAGATGCACGCATATATCCATATATATATAAACACAAGCAGTCTGAACGAGCCTGGATCGTGTGTGTATGTGTGCGCGCATGTGTGTGTGTGTGTCTGTGTGAGCGTGCGGCTGTGCGCGGCGGTGCCGGTGCCGGTGGCGGTGCCGGCGGCGGTGCCCGGCCCGGCCCGGCCCGCGCTGCCCCCGCGCTCCCCGGCCCGCCCGCGGTGCCCCTCACTGCACGCTGGTCTGCAGTCCGTGGTGAGGGGGCGGCGTGTCGGAGTTGACGGTGCCGACCTGGGAGTAGACATCGTCGGGGGTCTGCTGCTGGATCCCCGGGGGGGTCATCCGTTTCTCTTTCTGCCTCCGATTGCAAAACCAAACCCTGACCACCTCCTTCTCCAGCTGCAGGCTGTCCGCTAGGTTCGTAATCTCCTGGGCAGAGGGCTTGGGGCATTTCAGAAAGTGGCTCTCCAAGGCCCCCTTGACACTCACCTCGATGGAGGTCCGCTTCTTCCTCTTCCTGCCCTGGGCGGCGATCTTGTCGATGCTGGTGGGGCTGCCAGTGGAGGAGTCGGCTTCCTCCAGCCACTTGTTCAACAAAGGCTTCAGCTTGCACATGTTCTTGAAGCTGAGCTGCAGGGCCTCGAAGCGGCAGATGGTGGTCTGCGAGAAGACGTTGCCGTAGAGGGTACCCAGCGCCAGCCCCACATCGGCCTGGGTGAAGCCCAGTTTAATCCGCCGCTGCTTGAACTGCTTGGCGAACTGCTCCAGGTCGTCGGAGGTCGGCGTGTCCTCGTCTGAGTGCGGGTCGTGGCTGTTGACACCGCCGTGGTGCGGCGGGTGGTGCCCGGGGTGCTGGTGGTGGTGGTGGTGGTGATGCCCGGGGTGCTCGCCCAGCTCCGGCGTCTCGCCGCGCACCAGCCCCGGGTGCACCAGGCTCTGCCCGCCGGGGGGGGGACTCAACATGCCGTTCACCGTGAAGCCCCCGGGCTGCGAGTAGAGGAGCGACTGCTGCTGCTGCTGCCCGCCGGCCATGGAGGGCAGGTGGGCGGCCGCCGCCGCCCCCCAGGCCGCCGGGTGCCCCTGGTGCGGGGGGCCCAGGTGGGGCGGCCGGTGGTGCAGCGCCGCGCCCGAGTGCAGATCGTCGCGCCCGCCGCTGCCCTTGACGTCGGGCGGCGGCGGCGGCTGCTGGGGGCTGCCCGTCATGCCCACGGGGCTGCCGGACCAGGGCGAGCCCGCTTCGGCGGCGGCGGCGGCGGCGGCGGCGGCGGCGGCGGCAGCGTGGGGCAGGGCTGTCACCCACTGGTGGGCATGGCTCAGCATATGGCCGCCGTTGCTGGCGGCCATGGCGCCCGGCATGAAGTCGCTCTGGACCATCTTGGCCGCCGGGTCGCCGCGGTAGCCGCCCGCCACCGAGGTGACGGCCACGCTCCCCGGCTGCATGCCACCGCCGCCGCCGCCGCCGCCGCCGCCCGAGTCCGCGTGGACGATGGAGCCGGCCGCCAGGATGCCGTTGCCGGGGAGGTAGGGGTTAGAGGTGGCCGCGGCCATCCCGCGCCCGCTGCCCGCCGCTCTCCCCCGCCGCGCCGCAGCCGCCGCTGCGCCGCCGCCGCCGGCTGCCGGGCGCCCGGCGAGAGCGCCCTTGCCCCGCGCTGCCGGGGCCGCTGCCGGGGCCGCCGCCCGCGCCGCCGCCGCCGCCGCCGCCTTCCCAGCCTCGCCGGGGCGCCGGGGCGCGGGGTTCACCTGCTAGCGCTCCGCGGCGCGCTCTCCTCCGCTCGTCCGCCGGCCGTCCTGCCTCCGCTCCGCGGCGCGCTCGTTGCGGTCGCCGGCTCTCGCTTCGCCTTTTATATTTTTTTAAGCCTTTCTTTTTTTTTTTCCAAAAAAAGAGAAATATTTAGCTGATTATATATTTTTCCTCCGCCTTCTTCTCGCCCGGGGTTGCTGCTTGGAGGGAGGAAACCAAACAAAGGCTAAAAAGCGAAAAAGGGGGGGGGGGGAATCAAAAAGCCCCCGTGCCTTCTCCCCTCCGCTCCCCTAGGAGTACATCTCCTCCTCTCAGCCTTCCCCTCTCAGAGAGAAACTTTTCCTTTTCTTCTTCCTTTAAGGCTTTGTGTGTGGGTATATTTTCCTTTTTTTCTGCCTCTCTCTGTCTTTCTCTCCTCGGTTCCTCGATCTCCTTTTGCTCTTTTATTTGCAAGTTTTGTTGGTGTCCTAAGAAAACTTCCTGTGATGATGATGGTGGTGATGGTGGTGATGATGCATTTCTCAAAGTTGTGCTGTTGCTGGAGCACTTTGTCCCCTTTGAAACAAGAGTCCTGCCGGAGCCTTCTTGCTAGAGTCACGCTCTGGATAAGACATTTTTTTTCTCTCTACCTTTCCTTTAGGCGGTCGGAAAAAAAAAAAAAAAAAGAAGAAGTAAAAAAGATTTTTAAAAAGTTGAAATTTCTCGTTACCTCGCGAATTGTTTCTTTCCCTCTCCCGCTCGCTCTCTCGCTTGGTTTGTTGTCTTTTTTTTTTTTTTTTTTTTTTTTTTTGGTGTTTGTTTTGCTTTTTATTTTAATTCCAGCAGTTGGTCGAGGGAGGAGGCGGAGGAGGAGCGCCTTGGTGGAGAGGTGTGTGTATGTGTGTGTGCATATATGGTATCCTTTATACACTAACTCCAGCGGGGAAGTTGGCTGCCGGGCTGGCAGCGCGTACTGGCGGTGCCGGAGTCCCGCCGCTCGCCTCTCCCCGCCTCCCTCTCCCGGGCCGTGCCCGCGCCCGCGCCCTCCCTCCTCCCGTCCGTGCGTGCGTCCCTCCCTCCCGCGCCCGCGCCGCCACCGCCCGGCCCTGCCGCGAGGAAGCGGCCGCGCCGCCCCCGCCGATTGGCTGCGCGCCCCGTGACGGACAGCCCGCGCCGGCCGCGCGGCCCCCCTTCCGGCCGTTCCGATTGGCTGCCTTTTAATTTAGGCAAAGCGGTGTCGGAGATGGAAGTTGCCCCCCTCTTCCCTCCATCCTTCCTCCCTTCTCCCCTTCCTTCTTCCTCCTCCCTCCCTCCCTCCTCCCTCCGCCTTTTAACTCTTCCTGCCCGGCGGACACACACACCTCGGAGCTCTCCCGCCGTCACCTCTCGGGCAGGGGCGAGAGCGAGCGGTAATAACAACAGTAATAACGACAATAATAACGACGCCGGAGCCGGGCGGGGGTCGGAAGGGCGTTTGTGTGGAGGTGCCGCTGCCGTGCACACCCACCCGCCTCCCCCGCCGGCAGTGCCCGCACCGGCGCTCAGAGCTGCCCCTCCCCGGTGCTCGGCCCCGCAGGCGCCCGCCCCCCGCCCGCTCCCTCCTCCCTTTGTCCGCCCCCGCACCCCAGGGTGCGCCCCGAACCCCGGCAGCCCGCCCGCAGCCGTCATGCTGAGAGGCCGGGCCGGCAGCCCCGGCGAAGGGCCGCCCCGTCGGCGGGGGAGGTGACGAGGGGAGCCCCGGCCGGGCTTGCCCTGCGCGCCGCGGTCTACTCGAAGGGAACCAGCCCCGCGGCATGAAACGCTGTATTATTTCTCGTCCAACGGAAAGAGTTAAGGGGGGCGGGGGAAGGCGGGGGGCGCGGGGGAGAGGTGCGACCGAGCGGAAACGCTGCGCGCAGGCAACCTCAGTGAACCACAGAAAAAGAGAAAGTGGCAACAAAAACAAGGGCAAATTGAACGCTCCTCGGGGACTGCCGGTGCAATAACAGCGCTCGGACACGGAGGGGACACGGCACTGCCAGCGATCGCCTCGCCGCGCCGTCCCATGCGCGCTCCCCGGGTGGCGGGGACTCGAGCGAGGGAAACACGCGCGGTGCGGGCACGGGAATGGGGAACGTCGCCCCCCGCCCGGCCCTGCCCGCCTCGCTCCCCTCCTCCGCACGCCCGGGGGGCGGTGAGTTGCGTCCCGCTGGCAGCGCCCTCCGCGCCGCCCCGCTCCCGCCGCGCTCGGCAGCCGGTGCTCGGGGCTCCCTCCAGCCCTCGGCTGGCACAGCACGAAATACCATGGTAGGTCGGGTTAGAAAAAACATTCAAGTGAAGCGTGCGCATCTGAAGGGCGCTGGTATCTGAACACCAAACATAATGATTTTATATATGCATATATATACACACATATATATGTATGTATGTATATATATTTGTTCCCATGCGTCCTCCCAAGGTTTCTTTTTTATATATAAAAGATCCAACACAGATTTCATTGAATAAATCTGAGATCTCCAGGTGCAGACGTTTGAATAGTCAGTGCCAGAACCCCATGTTTTCCTTTCCAGCCGATTTTGCTTGGATCAGGCTCAAAAACCGAGTGAGTCTCGTGGTTTTGTTTACACTGAATGGGGAGGATAGGAACGGTGCCATGGGGCCGTCTTTCATTAATATACAGTGAGGATTTTGTCTAAATTACTGCTATGAATTTCACAGTACACGCTTTCAAAAGCCGTCTCAGGTGGCCTGATGAAACGTGATAGCGCCTCTGCAAACAGATCTACTTTCTTAATAAAAAAGGAAGGTGGGGGGGTGGAGAAATCCCCTCAAAATAAAAAAAATTGTACACCTTCATAACAGCTACAACAAAAAATAAAGCTTGAAATGGAGTAATGTCGTTTATTTAAAAAAAATATCCCAACAAAAAACAAACAACCAACTTCGTTCCCCAACTCTTCCCACCCCCTCCCTTGCAGAGTGAGATTGTTTTGTCTGGAAAAAAATCCAAAGTATAACAAGGGGAGAACAGTTAGTGCTGATTTTCATTTGCATAAATTTTCATATATTTTGGTGAAAATAATAGACTAGTGGAGAGCGGGGCTTAGTGGAGTCAGTGCAAAGGAAAATCTTAACATGGATCGTTTCGCTGGAGTTGAGAACATGCTTTTTCCCCCCTGTCACCTTATTAAAATCAAAAATTAAAAAAATTTCTCTAAATCCTGGAAGTATGATCGGTAAGTGTTTTACGTTTTTTTTATCTACTTTTGTTTGCTTTAAAGTCTTCTGGATATATATTTTCAAAAGCTTAGGACAAGGCAGGGAAACCTATGGCAACTGCCTGGAAGGAAACAGACTGGAAAAAAAAGGGAAAGGGAAAGGAAAACAAAAATCCCAACAGCAACAAAAAGCACCTTAGTGAAATATTACATAAAAAGCATGGATTCATTCCAAAGCTCAAGGCAGCAAAGCAATTCTTCAGCGCTGGAAAGTCTTTCTGGTTACTACTTCACTTTTCTGGGCACTGTTAATTATTGTAACACCAGGACTCGGGGAGGCGAGTGGGGGTGAGGGGGCGGCGAGGAAAGCTTTCGAAAATATTACAGATTTGTAAAGGGGAGCCGAGGCAGAGATGCAGGCTGTTTTCAAGTCTGGTTCGTGGGGGGGGCGGGGGGGTCGCCCGGCGAGCGGGGAGGGGGCTCGGCCGGTGCGGCGGGCGGGAGAGGGGCCGGGGCCGGGCCAGGGCGCGGGGGACCCGAGCACCTGCCGGCGCAGGGACGGGGGCGGGGGGAGACAGGGGAAGGTGCGGAGCGGCGGTGCACGCAGAGGGTTAATATTGTAACTAGGGAACAGACGGTTAAGCACAACATCTAGAGCTCTGTAGTGAAAGTCCATCAGAAAGAGTATAATCAATCAAAACTAACCAGGACATCCCTTCATTTTATTCTCCAAGGAGATTGGGGCTGGAGGATTACAGACCAGATTTCACTTTGTTTCTCTCTCCCGACCGTCTTGCCTGTCTCTCTGCTTTCCCCGAATCCCGTCCAATTGAGAGGTGTAGTCTAATGGTCTGAAACTCTTATAGCGTTTAGGTCAGTGCGATAAATAATGTGATAAATAATGTAGGATTAAATTAATAGGCCAGATACTGCTCCTGAAAACTTTATCGAGGCTTAAATATCCCAATATGTGACTTTAATTATTTTAATTTTACTATGTTATTTGCATATTTTTTCTTTCCCCCCTCTGTTGCTGCTCTTTCGGACACACAATAGCTGGTGATCATTGTAATTTCCTAGAATTAGTTACTTCTTTGGAAACGGTCGATAGCCAAATCAATAAAATGGCTTGTAAAACTAGGGAGGTATAGGTTTCAGTTTGGGAGGGGGAGGAAGAATCGCTCATTTTCCACTTCTTGTTGACGTGCCCAGCGTCTCTTTTGACTGGGGTTAACTCTGTGTGCTCCATCGGAACAGATGCCGTATAGAGCTGCTCCCTCAAGATCATTTGTTTCCTTGATGGGGGAACATTTCTGAGCAGAACATATTGGTTGCCATAGAGAAAGAAATAAAAGGAAGAACACTAGTCACATTAAGCTATATGTTTGTGCACTGGGCTTTAGATAAAAGGACCCCAGTTCAAGCCAGAGAGAACGGGGCCAAACCAGAGCTTCTTAGCTTCACTAAAACTAGCTTTATTTTGTTTTGGACTTTTACGGTTGAAACATGTAGGCTAATTTTATTGGCTGTAGTTAATTTTATACGATTCGGCTTGTGAGCAAAATCAACTTCGGCCGAGCTCCGCCGGGCGCCGGCCGCCCGCCAGGGGGCGTCCTGCAGCGCCGCCGCCCGTCGGGCCCGTCCCGGCTCCTCACGGGCACCCCCGGGCACCCCCGGTCCCTGCGCTCACCCCCGGGCACCCCCGGGCACCCCCGGTCCCTGCGCTCACCCCCGGGCACCCCCGGGCACCCCCGGTCCCTGCGCTCACCCCCGGGCACCCCCGGGCACCCCTGGTCCCTGCGCTCACCCCCGGGCTTCCCCGGGCCCCACAGTCCGGCACAGCCCCGCCACCGGGACACCCCGTCCAGGGGAGACAGCCCCAGAACTCCCGAGACCGACGAGGCGGCGCGCAGGGGGAGAGGAGCGGGGAACCGCGGATTCAGAGCCCGCCCCGAAAGTGTCCCCGTCGGTTGCGGTACCTCCGACGGACCCGGGGCCTGTGACGGAGGGAGAGCGGTAATTAAACACAGGCACAGGCACGCGGCTCGGGGCAACCAGGGGTGCCACACTTTTTTTTTTTTTTCTCCTGTCCGAATAAGGCGCTTAAACCTCTGGAGACGCAATAAAACTACTCTTTTTTTTTTTTTTTTTAAACATAATTTAATATTTAATCCCCGCATTAAACCTGGAAAAGTGCCTTCTTCTCTCTCTCTTCTTTTTTTTTTTTTTTCTTTTCCCTTTTTTCTCCTCCCCTCCTCAAGCTGGCCACTCCTCCCCCCCCGCATCCCTTCCTGACTTATCTGTCTGCGGGAGCCAGCGGCAGAGGCAGCGCCGGACTCCTCCCGCCCTGCTCGCACACCGGGCACAAGTTGTCGCCGTCCGGGACACTCGCAGACGTGATCCTCAACTAAAACCAACAGAATCCACGGCGACCACAGCTTAGTTCTACACAGCTTGGCTCCCTTCCCGAGCACGTGTACTCTCAGCCCTGTGCCCCTTTTCTCCGCTTTCCTCCCCAAGTGGTTGCAAGAAAGGATGGAAGTGATAAATTTAAGGGAGTTTTTTGTTTGTTGGTGTTTTTTTGTTGTTGTTGTTAGGTTTTTTTCTTTTTTGTAGTATTCCTGCTTGTACACGTCTGTTTCTCACTCCTGTCCGCCGGCAGGATGCTGGGCAGGGGCAGATCCGCGTGGCTGCAGCATCCTTTAACGCACCTGCAAGGGGAATGTCCCAGGCAGCCCCCGGACGGGGAGGGGGGAACTGCTGCCACGGTGTGGGGGGTTTGAAGCCACTTTGTTTCCCCGCGCTGGAGCCCCAGCAGTTTCCGTGTGACTGGGAAAGTTTTATTCCTTGCCTCCATGAAGAAAAGACCAATTGGAACCCTGGAAATCGCACAGCCCATAAATATGATACAACCTGGCAAGATGATCTGCCCGCCTAAAAACCTAACACAAACACACACACCAAAAAAAAAAAAAAAAAAAAAAAAAAAAAGAGAGAGAGAGACACAAAAGTAATCAAAGAGAGAAAACGACCGACAAGAAATTAGACTTTTCATTTAAAATGTTCGTGGGTCTTCATTTGGAAAACGGAGTCAAGTCTCCGTGTGTAGAGACTTTGAGGGAAAAGGGTTGAAATATTTACATGAACAAAACTTTCCACCTACCGCGTTTGGCGCAATAAGCACTAGCAATATTCCAGACTAGTAAAATACATTCCGGAGCGCAGTTCTCTTCAGAAAGGTGGTGGCTTGCTTGAGATTTGCCGTAGTTTAGTGAACATTTCTCTCGCCTCTGAAGGGTTTTGGAGTTGAAAGCTCAGCATCCCGGGGTCGGGATTGAGCGGATTTCCCTCCAGCTTTCCTCTGTCCCCCCTCCCCCCAACCCTCCAAGCGTAACCTGCGTTATATTTTAAACAAAACAGGAGTTAGCAGCTCGGCTGTTCTGCTGTATGCCCGCACTAGTTAGCAGCAGCAGCAGTCTGCGAGATACTGCAAGCGAAGTGAAAAACTAACGCTTAAACGAGCAACAAGTTAATTCGGTAAAACTTAAACTTTGCTGGCTGCCTTCGGAAGAGTCTGGTCCGGCCAAGATTGTTGGCTCCATGCTTGCAACGGCACCCCAGTTGTTTCATGGCTAGGCTTCGCGAACATTTTTTTCACATCCTTCTTTTAATAAATGCCTATTTGTCCGAATGGACGCCTTTGGAAAGTGGATGTAGACGCAATACTGTCTTGGAGGTAGGGAAATGAAAGTGTTTACCGTATTTAGTATTCATTTACTTATAGTGGGAAATGATTAGGTATGTACTAATATAACCGTGGAGACCAACTGCCTAATTAGCATTTACAAATTAAAATGTTAAACATAAAGACATATTCCGTATACAGTCTGCTATATGTAAAACACATTCGTGCATAATACGGCAGTCAGCTGCAAACGTGAAGTTGACTGGCTTCCAGATATGTAGCGTTCTTGGCTAATGTGAGCTGCTCTGGGTTTTTCAAGCTTACCCACGCTGTAGTTCATAGTTCTTATGACCACCTTGATAGCTGCACTAGGGATATTACACTAACCAATCTGAAGAAAATAGGAAAATACACAGATTACTTTTAAAGTCTGACGATAACAACGATAAACACAATAGGCAGGCAGATCATTTATCCATACCTTTTATTCTGAAGGCTTCACTCGGAACCTTATTTATTGCTTTGAGCATAACAAAGCATTTCGGGTTCTGTAATAAATTAGAACAATAACACAGAACTGCACATGCAAAGCAAGATAGCTTTTAAAACAGGAGTCCTTTCTTTCCCAGCCGCATAATTTTGATATTACCCAATGTGTCGTGCTCAGGGTTCACCTCACACAGACTGTAATGAGAGTTGCCAAATGAATGGAACAATCTATCTGTTGACTTGAGCTCAACGTAGACATATTACATATGATGGAAACCTAATGCTCCCACCGATGTTAAAATCAGAGGGATATATAGTTCCAATCCAGACCCTTGAACATGTAGATTTTTATTTATCAGAATAACTGTGCATGTAGCGACATAAAAAGGGGATTTACAAGTTGGAGTCTTTTAAAAGAGACTGTGAAAACCTTAGCCCTGCTTTTATTAGACATGATATCATTCCGATTTGCGTGCTTGCCATCTCAATGGCTTTTCACATGTAAAAAAAAAGATCCATATGCATTACATAGATTTTCTTTTACGCACATAAGGACTGGCAGTCTCTTAGTGGATAAGAGGGTGAATAATTGTGATACACCAGAAAACAGTTCGTGCAGTTTGGCAGCTCTGGTTATTATTATTAGATTTTTTGACATTTGAACTTGCCTATTGTCTAAGGAGCTCAGTGCAGATTGCAGTAGGTCAACCTTAAGGCTGCTCTTTTTGGCATTGCACACAAACATGCACACGCTGTCTGTTCTCCTTGTGTGAATGCAGCAGCTACAGTTTTATCGTGCCTTTTTTTTTTTTTAATGCACATTTATTTATATTTATCTAATCCGCTTGGGTTTTTCCGCTTGGGGTCGTGTGATTAGTTTGTACGTGCCTTCATTTTACACCCATTCCTCCAATCTATATATTTGCCTGATGTTGGATACTTTTAAGTACTTTACAGCAGTATAATTCCAGCATCCCGACGTTTGATAAAAGGGACTTCAGTAGCCCTGGGATTAAATGACGTATTTCCCTGCAGCTTTGCTCAACTCCATCATGACTCCTACAGTCAAAAGTTAACGTTATTCATCATCTCCTTGCATTTATTTCCTCCTCCCCTCTCTAAATTCAGCCCCACCATCCTACTTTTGAAACGGTTTCTTGCCGCCTGCTAGGAGCTGGCGGGGGGGAGGGGGGGAGAAGTGTGGGAGGCGGAGGCTGGGACCCGAAAGCCCCGGTGGGGAGCCTGCCGCCACTTTGCGTCCCCGGGGGCGGCCCCCGCTCCACCGACCTTTCCGCGGTCGCGGAGCGGGCCGCGGCCACGCGAGGTTCCGGAAAACGCCCTCCCAGGCCGGGCGACGGGAAAGAAGGATGCTTCAAAGAAGGAAAATGCGAAATAGGGATGAATCACCCCGGGGGGGATGGAGAAGGGGAGCGGGTAAACTGGATCAAACCCGGTAGGAGAGTCAGTTTGCACTGGGAAAATCTAGAGATTGTGTCTAAATAACTTTTCCCTGGAGTAATTTGCACCTCTTGGTCTTTCTTCTCTCGTTTGGTTAGTGCTGTTTTCTCATCTGCCAGGGTGAAGGCACTCAGGCCGAACAACAGTCCATCTCTTCTTCTAGCAGTCTGTCATTTAAAAATGTATCTATATGCGTGTATAAGTGTGCAGATATATAGGTATACTTACATCCAGGCGTGTACAGAAGCATATGCATCTGGATTTTTTCCTCTCTTCACTCCCCTTTTCCCTCCTTAACAAGCACCTGATAACGCATTTAAGGCTTGTTATTTGAACTCTCAGATCAGCATGCAGAAATGTAATTGCAACGTTTTTCATCAGAAAGAAAAGAAGGAGGAAAGGGGGAGGAATTCCCCCCCAGCCCCTCACACCCTCACACACAGACATCCAGTGCTCGGTAATCGCTGAGTCATCGTATTGGGGGTCAGTGGGTAAACATGAAGGAGAGAGAGAGCAGCAGCTTATTAAAAACCTCGGCACAAACCTCATCCCTCCTCATCTCCAGCCTGGAGATCCCTCCCCTCCTTCTTCCCCTAGATTTACTAATCCGGACTTGGAATAAAGTGGTCGAAGTGCGGCCAGAGCCTTTTTGAGGCTGGATGTCCTCCTCAGGTGCAGTGTGACCCGCTTTGTTCCGGAGGGGTGGAGGGAAGAAATTCAACATTAAACTGCTATTTGGACTGTCGATGATGTGCGTCGTTTTGTGGGGGAGAGGGGAGAAGGAGGAAAGGGGGAAACACTGGCCAGTTCACTTAAGGATGCAAAGAAAGGGAGAGCTTTCTCCAGGGCTGGACTCTGATCTGTGCATGTTTATTCCTGTTTAAACGCTATTGTTCCTGTCAGCCTTTGACATAAACAGAAGGGGCGGGGAGGGGGGGGGGGCGTTGAGGGGGGTGACTGGAACAAAGCTGCTCAAACCCCAGCAACCCTCAAAGGTAGAGGAATACTTTCTTTTCTTCCCTTTAAAAATATATGACCACACTTTGTGTTTGAGGTCGTTTTCTGGGTCCCCCCACTCTCCCTGTGAACTGAGCAGAGTGTCTGGTAGTGATTCACTTACCATGGCCCGTTTAGACAGGCACATGTCCCCCCAGGTGGGTGCCAGGGAGCCTTGCAAGGACAGCTTCTTGGGCCCATGGGCTGCCAGCGGTTTGAAGGAGTAGACTTAAAATCGGTTTGCAGCAAGGCCTGCAATGGGAAACAAAGAGGCAGAAATGTTGGGAGCCTGAGGAGAGCCTGAAATACAGAGAAACATTGAGCTTCCCAGAGATGTTTCAGCTTCTCAGTGGGGGACAGAGCAGGATCCTTTTTGGGCTGCCTCTGTGCATTTGAGGGCTGGACTGTACAGCCCACACTGAATCAGAGGCATTGTGTGTAAATAAATAAGTGCACATTGTTTTGAGATGCTGCTATTGTATTTGGGGCTGGGGGGGGGAGAGGGTAATATTTTGTGTGTGTGTATGCGTGCTGGCCTGTGCGCTTTCAAAAGGTGAGTGCAAATTGCAATAGTTGCTGCTCTGTTTTTGTTTGTCAAACAGGGCCCATCTCTTGGGAGAGGGGCATGTGGCGGATCCCAGCCCGGGATTACATTAATCAAAGCATTATTTCCCCAGGGATGTGCAGCACAAATGATAGTAAATCCTAATAAAATTGGATCGCTGAGAAATTGAACGCTTAAAGTAATCTGCTCTGCCTGATAAAAACTTCAAATTTATAAGATATGCATCCCCACCTCCAAACACCTTAGGTATCATCACTATGTGTGTATTATACGTCTATCTGTAGGAGAGAAATCACTGCTCAGTTTAGCAGGCCCATCACTATTGAATATATACATAGATATAAATGTGTGTATGTGTGCATGCACACATATATTGCACACACACACACACAAAGTAATAAAATAAGCTAAAATCTATATGCACATAACAATGATGAATATGGCTAATATTTTAAGGACTTTACATGCAACACCTTTTCTGTGGTAGACGTTGTAAAAGGCTTGGACAACAATACACATAGTTGTGTACCAGCACTGTAATCTTGCCTGGGGACTCAGGTCTCTCTTGCTTTTTACTGATGCTCACCATGGGCCTCCATGATGGCACCTGTAATCTCAGCCCACCAAGAGCAGCTTTGCTTTTTAAATATGAGACCACAGGAGAGGTAGGGAAAGAATTTAAAAAAAAATAAAATAAGTGAACACGAGCATTTGAAGCCTTTGAGGGGATGAGCTTCAGAAGGAAATTGCCTTGGACCAGGTGGGCATAGTTGAAGGAAGGAAAGGTGTTCCCAGGCCAGTTATTTTGCCTCAGACATGCAGCATGCTGCACGCACAGTCTCTCAGTGCAGGGCTAGACCACCACCTCCTCTGCCCCTTGGCATGGGACAGCAGAGGCCAGGGTATCTGCTGGCCATTCACGAGCTTCAGACCCTGAGTCTCAGCTATTTCCTTTCTGCAGAAGGAAAGTTTATTTATAATTGCAGCCATAGGACATGACAATAGGCTGAAAGAGACCCACTGTCCAGCAGGAAAAAAAAAAAAAAAGGCTTTCCACCCCCCCTCTTCCCGCTTAAAGACTGCTGTGCTTCCAAATGTGAAAGGGGCAGAAGGCATTTCCACTCACCCAGCTGAAACTCTTTGAAAGGCTGTGAGCCTCCCCGACGTTATAAATGCTGATCATTCCTCCTCCCCCCGCCGTCCCGGGACCCGTTACCCCCGCGGGAGTCGGCTTTGCTGCGGGCCCCCATCCGGGGCAGGTCCTGCCCGCTTGCCCTGCGGCCGACATGTCCCGTACGCCTCTTTCTGTTCCTGTCTTTTCTGACATCGCTAGGCAGACCGAAGGCGACTTAGCCCTTCCCCTAGCGTGGGGCTTTCCTGCCCCGGGGGCTTGCAGAGAAGGGCGGGCGGAGGTGGCCCCGACCCCGCAGCGCCCCGCACCCTGTCCCGGCCTGCCGGTGTCTTCCCCCACTGCCTGTAGACAGGCAGGCGGCGGGGGTGAGCTGAGCCCTCTCCCAGCCCCGAAATGACGCAGCCCCTGCTCCAGCATCGTCGCCCGTTTGGGCTGGCTCCATTTCAGGAGCTCCGTCTCCCCCCACCCCCTTCTTACCAGTCTTCCTCCTTCCTCCTCCTCCTCGCCTCACCGTCACTCTCAACCAACACTCCCCCCCCCACCCCCCCCGCCTCGCTCCCGCTTCCCCCCGCCGCCCCAAACTCCTTCCTAAGGACCGTGGGATGCTGGTGAGCTCTGGTGAGAGTTGCCGGTCTCCAATTCCAAACGGGGAGCCGCCGGGAGCGGTGAGGCAGCCGTGCCGGGGGAGAGTGGTCGGGGGGATAGGGAGGCAATGAAGGAAGGAGGCGGGGGGGGCGCATCCACGCACACCCCCTCTCCCCCCATTTGGCGCACCCCCTGCTCCCGGGAACGTGCAGCCCCCGCGCCCCGCCCGGCCCTGTCAGCGCAGCGGCGGCTCCGCGACCCCCGACGGGGCTCCCGCCGCGCCCCGCACGACTCCCCTCGTCCTCCCCCACGCGTGTGCGGAGCGTGCAGGGACACACTCACCTCACCACTGAGGGTCCCTCTTTTCCTTTATCCCCCTTCTTTTCCTATCCCTTCCCCCCCCGCAAAAGAAACCTCAAAAACCCCCAAAAAACAACCCCCAAAAAGCCCAATAATTTGCATACCGTTTGTCACCCTCGCTCAGTATTCCCCCCCACCCCACCGCTTCTTTTATCCCCCCCTTCACTCCCGCCCAGACCGACCCTTCTCCCCCACTCCCCCGCAACCCGGGTGCAACCGGATGGCAAAAATCAAAGCTGGATCCAATTTACCCCAGTTGTCTTCCTTTGAACACTCATAAGGTAGGTATGGTGGGATGCTGCTCTCCCACTCCCCATGTGCTCAGTGAGGTGCCTTCCTCTCCACCCTCTCTCCCCCTCCCCTCCATGCCGCTCTCTATTCCTTAATTGGCTCTATCTTGATGTGCACTTGTTTTGTTTAGCCTATTTTACCATTGCGGACGAGATAGGCAGAAAAAGGAGCGTTTGACTTGGTATGTCTCTCTGATTTTTTTTTTTTCCCCCCCCCCCCCCCTTCGAGGTTAATTTGCATTCGAAGTCTAATTCATATTTCAAAATCCTGGCATTTGAGGACTGTATAGGAACAGGGCATTCATTTCTGTTTTTGAGGAGGAGCCTTTCCTGCATTTGCTCCTCTCTGCATAATTTCATTGTGTTCACAAGTGACAGGGATTTGCATCAGTTATTTTGCAATTTATTTTTTAAAAGAGTTGGATCAAATTTAAGGAAAAAAAAATTATTTTTAAAATTGTCAAGGGAGTAAATACTGGGCATTATAAAAGGACCATACATTACTAACAATGTTGCAAACTTAGAGTTTAAGGCACAGACTATATATTCAGATAAACATATTAATCTGCATTCCTTGGAGTTGGATTTCTGAGTCCTGAACATCCGATTTTGATCACAGTCAGAGAAAGTCAACTATACAAATACTGTGGTGTATTTATAGTTCCTCACATTTATTTACAGGTGATTTTACTGCTGTTTGCTACTCTTGCTCCAGCGCTTTGTAATTATTTCACTCCTGCAAGGCATTTCATAGGATTAGATGCTGCTTTACTCATTAAAGATTTTCGGCTTATCCAGCTGTAACTTTCATCCACAACTCTGGAAATAGTTATGTGGCCACGTGGACGTTATGGAAAGATTATAAAAGATATGTGGATATAAACCAATCTTTTTATACGTCTATGTATCTTTCAGTTCTTTGGATATGATGAAGAATCCGTCTACATTTAGGCCTTTATGGGTCCTTTAAGGACTTCTTTCACATATTTTATTTGTATCTATAGAATGAATTTTCTTTATGTATGTAGGGATTACATGAATGGCATATGTTGCGTAATATGCATATGAGGCCTTTCAAGTATTTCTGCACACACACAAATTTATTTTTGACAAATGTATGTGTGTGTGTACATGCATGTTTATACATGTGTGTGATGAAAAACATACTGGAAGAGAAAACTGCCCAAAATAAAAAATGTTCATAAAGGAAAAGCTGTTAAAGTAGTTCACTGGGAGTTTGCATCTGGTGCTTTGCAAAAGTCACTTAAGTTGCAGACTTTACTCTAAATACGTTTATATACCCCCATTTCAGCATAAAAATCTCTCTGCATGTATTTGTCCTTCTATAACTAAGTGAGGCTATGAATTATGCCTAAAAAGATGCCACTGATATAAAAAACTTGTAAAATAGTAATGAAATATGGAATTTTATATAATGCCAACAACTGTAGCATGATTCTTGGCATAAGCAGTTTAGTGCAATTTCATTTGTCTGAACCAGAATGATATTACAAAGTGAATTAATAGAACATTAGTACTGAAAAAAAGAAACACTTCTTCCTTTGAAATATGAAGTGCCACTAACTTGAGATGAAACCTGAAAGTCAGTGAATAATATATGGGAAATATTAATATTTTAAATGTATCATATTTAAAATTGCTGTGAACTTAAACAAGGTTTCATATCAAGAAAAAACAAGTAATTCATTTTAGGTTCCAATTTTATATGCAACATTTTACAAATGATGCACTTCACTAAAGAAGGGAAGTCAGGTATGTAAGCATATTTTGCAATTTTGCACATGAAATAAAGTCATTATGGAATATGAATTTAATTTGGAAAATGATAAAAAAGAATATTTATTTTATTTTTTCTACTGTGCTGAAAAGAAAACATTTTTAAGTAGCTGATTGAGGAGATGAAATGAACTGATATGGCCCATAATACCCACATGGGCTTTTATACCTTGTGAAACCACATCAAAACAGAACCTTTATAAAAAGTATGAAGTCAAGTAATGCAGTCATATTTTATATTTAGAATGGGAGTTGATATGATTCAGCCTAATGTTGTAAAGAGTGAGCCCTCTGGCACTTGGCATTACATTATTTTAAAATTACTCCTGCAAGGAAAGTTAGTAGAAAGAGGGTAGCAGTGTTGAAGCCTAACACTGAAGCTCAGGGGCAAATTGGGGTGCCACTGCCTGTCCTGGCTCTGGTTTAAGTGAGGACAAAGTGTCACCCTTGGTTCTCTCCTTAGTTCAAAGTCTGTTGGCTCCAATGTTTCAATGCCCTGCTCCAAAGAGCAGGTACAGCTCAGCCTCTGGAAGCTGAACCTGTGCTCCTTAAGATGGGCCAAATCCTCCTTTTCGCTTTCATTGAAGCCACTTGGAGTTTTGTCTGATTGGAATGATATGTAGGATATATATGACTGGACATTTTGAGCAATTGGGGAAAAAAACCCCTACCCAAACCCAAACATGTCTTTGCATCAATGGAAAGTGTTGGGTGTGTCTGAAAGGGCAGTTGTGTGTTCTGGGAAAGACTAACTCTGCCATGACTCTAAGTGCCTATGAACTGTCTTGTGGAAGGACAGCAAACTCTGGTTAGTCCATAGCCTGGTTCCCACCTACTTAGCTGTTCCCACTAGGAGCTAGTTGTAGGTGCCACAGAAGAAGACAGGTTGGTGGTGGAGAAGAGGGGACACGGTTGTCACTTGCTACACAAGCAGATCTCTTTCTGGACAATTTTGCCCAAAGCCCTGGGATATTTGCTATGGTTCTCTCAATTATCTCCCAATAATTTCAGTAGCTTGTATTTTCATTACAAATGCCTAGTGTCCTTTGGAAACTCACTACAGATATTTTAAATTCAGAATAACTGTGATGGGAAAAAAAAAATCATGCTTTTCCTTTTTATTCAGTTTTATCACAATCACAGTTTATTTAAATATACATTTCTCTGCTGTGAAATAACCTTTCTTTCCACATTTATACCCATGTGCACAATGCTAACTCATAACAGAAAAACATTTTAGAACACTGTGCCATGCTTATAGGATAATTATTAATCTTGTCAGAATAAAAAGTGTGCTAAAACTATTCCATACAAAGGTTTGTGCCTTAATGTTTTTGAAAATTTTTTTTAAAGTAATCAGAGATGTCATAACAGAGGGAGAAACCATACGATATATAGCACGTAGTAAAAGTATATGACTCCTACAGGACTATTTAGAAATACACAAAGCTTATTTTTTCTCCTTTTGGTTAGTAGACTACTTGAGGAAAAGGTATGTTTTTATTTTTATTCCTGCTTTTGTCTATGAAGACAATGGGAAACTACAATTTCCAGATTTTAGTAGCTATAAATGGTATAAAAATAAGGAAGAGAGATGTTAATGATACATATCTGGAGGGATAAATACACAATAATCATGCACTCTGATAGCAGAAAGAAAAATTATTTGACTATAAAACCAATGCTAAATACAAGCAGAATAATATTGTTCTAGTGAGAAATATAGCAACTAAAATGATACAACAAAAATACACTTTTGAAACTCCCCGTATGCTTAGAACTTTTCCAGTTGAATATTCCTTTTTAATGTTTTGTGACCACTGAGATATAGTTAGTGAACAAACCAGTCAAAACTTTTCTTTGTTTTCCTACCCCATATCTACAAATCCAAAAATGCAACCTGTAGCAATTCCACTTGATATTAGGGAGGTGATTTTCCTGTTTGTTGCTTGGGTTTTGCTTGAAACTTGATTTTGCGTACTCTGACTCGTGCTGAAATTTCTGGGGCATGCAGCAGTGTTTGTAGGGTCATCCACTTATTTTGTGTGGGAGGGCCAGCTTTTTCATACTGGGGATTCATTCAGGCACAGGAAAGGGATACTGCTGGATAGGAACTATTTTTCAAGGGCATTGGGCATTTACCCTCTCATTTAACTTCAGTGAGAACTCTGAAAACTCAATATTAAAAGAAAAGTGCCCATTTTTCTTTAGAAAGTGAAATGTGGACATAGAAATCTGATAAATTTCTTTTGTCTCTGGTTGAAAAAAATGGTAAAATGCTATAGCTGGAAATGTCTCTTTTTATCTTTGAATAGGTTTCGCGTCAGCCCTTTGAGTATAAAGCACAAACCTACCTTTCCCCATGTGATAACTGTTTATTTTGCCTTTTTGTTCTGAGGTAGAAAAAATGATTAAACCACTAATGCCCCCAAAAACCCAGACAGAAATAATAGAAATTATTCTTCATTACTCAATTAAGAAAATAAGAAATTTGGAATCTGCGTAAGGTGAATTATGATTTTATATGCTGCTGATTTGACTTTTTGAAATTAGTATCTTCGTACTGAACTCTTGCATATATTTTTATTACTGTTAGGAAAGAATAAGATGCACATTTCAAAGACCTGTTAGAGGGACAGCTTTTTGAACTGTGACATGCTGAAGCCTAGGAAAAATATAGCAAATGTTTTGAGGAGCAATCATGATCTGGGGAGAGGAGAGTATCCATAGATGCCTCTCTGCCAGTGAACCCTGTAGCAGGTCATGTGCACCTGGGGCTACGGATTTCTCTTCATAAGAGGAGTAGCAGGAGAACCAAAACACAACTGGTTACTGATCGAAGTTCCCTCAGTGCAACACTATCAAGTTTTGAGATCAATTTTGGCTGGATGGTGTCAAGCTGCAAGTAGGAAAGGGGTCCAATCCAAACAGTTTTGCACCACCAATGTCCACACTCAGGGGATAATTTCTTCGTCTGCAAGTGGTGGTTGAAGTCATGACCCTTCTCCCAGCAAAACCCAGGACAAGCTGGCCCCATGGCTCCCAGCAGGACTTGTGGTCCCTGGGGGAGGGATGCACCACTTTTTTGTGCGGAACCCACAAGGCTCCCCTCTGCATCCTGATGTCAGTTTTCCTCTGGTTTCATCTCTAACCTCTCTGTTAGGTTTTTTTAATTTTAAATCCGGGCTTCGTCTAGAAACGATTGGGCTGCGCTCAGCACCGCCTGTCTTGGTAGGTTTGAAATTCCTGGGAAACCTCAATACTGGCACTTTCTAAACACAGTGAGAAAAGCACAGTGGAATATTAATGGGAGAAGCACATTTTAAAGGGGCAACACCACTTTGTAATTTTCATCTGTTAAAATATATCGGTCAGGGGCAGCTTGGGGGAGTTGCAGCAAAGCCACAAGTGTTCTTCACAATTTAGAGCTTCTGTGTTTTAATTATTTCTTTTTTGCTGCCACTGTGAAAGATCCCTGGAGACAATGGGGCTGTGACACTGAGGAACAGGTTATCCTCATTGTGCAGGGAGCACCATAAAAAACACAAAACAGAGACACAGAATAAAATACATCTCCCTCTGTCCCTTCCCATTTTCCCTATTTTCTGCTGTTACAGTAGTTATGTTAGATCAGCAGTGGGTAAAAAGGAAAAAAAACAAACAGATGGAAATGTGTGTCTAAACTGACAGAGCTTTTGTAAATTTTAAGAACTATCTCAAGGAAAATAATAATAATAAAATAACAACAGTAATAATAATAATAGACATTCTACACTGTTATGGATTTTATTTATTTAAACACAAATTTATGGTGCTGGCCACACACTAAAAATTGAAGAGTTTGGTACTGCAGTTGCTTTGGTGTATTTTTCAGCATTGTAATGGGCTACAGGGAGACAAAGGAGAATATGAATATATGGCAGTTGGTCTTTAGGTTTGGGTGACATTTTTGCTTGTTTTAACTGTCTTTTTAGAAAACTTATTTTTCTTCTATCATGCTATTGAATTGCAGAAGATATTGATATAGAAAAGCTGGAATTATTTAATAACCAAAATTAGAAGTTATTTTTGTAGTATATTTCTCATTAACAACCTCTTGACTGATAAGGAATCCTGAGGTCCAGGCTAAACTCACCCATGGTGAGAAAGAGTGAGATGATAGATGGACATATTTCTCACCTTCAAAACAGGTTTCTTTAGAAAGCAGTAGAAAGCAAACCCTTTCATAGAGCATTAAAAAGCAAGCTCAAACATGACACTACTGTCACACCTTTCATGGTACTTTTTTTTTCAGGAGTCTGCCCCTGATTTTAGTGCAAAGGAGCTGCTCTTTGAAATGGCGTGTCCAGCTTTGGCGTTTGCCTGCTGAGGAAGAGGTATGCCCTTTGTCCCTCACCTGCAGATGGCTTGGATGCTTTTACTTTCCTGAAGCGAGCACTTCCCAGTGGGCTGCATTCAGAAAGTGCTTTTCATAGCAGTAATACAGAACCAAGTTACAAAAGAATATTAATCCAATACATTCCAAAATTCAAATATGTGTGATTAATAAGCATTATTATCTATAAATAAGGCTCTAATGATACTTTGGCAGTGTTGTAAACACAAGAATCAGAAGCAATTATTGTCATTATTGTTCTGCAAGTACTTTCCATGAATACCAAATGGATATTACTGTCCAGCTCCTCGGCACATAGAAATCCTGTAAAGAAACAGTTGTCAGTCAGTAAGGCCTGGCTGACTGCTGTTAACTACATTTTTCTAAAGTGCAGTGTACCTAAAGACAAAGCCCCTGAGTTACTGAGAGTAAGATGGTTGATTAAAAAAATTATTCTTTGTGTTTTGCAACCCCCCAAAAGATGTTAAATAAAGCCTATGATAAAGTTTTCACATCCTGTGAGAAGCACAGTTTGTGCGATGGCTGTGATTAAAAAGGGAAATGGATTCTCTGACAAAAAAACTGCCTTTCTTTATGTGAAACCCACAAAGGTGAGAAGGTCCCAGCTAAAAGGTGGTTTGTAAATAATGACACTCCCCAGCTGTAAGAGGTAGCCCGTTGCTAGTTTTCAAGGACATGGGATCAAAGGGGCGTTCAAGTCTCATCACATTTACCTCTCCCCAGTTTGTACAGGTTCCATAGACTGGAGTCACATTGTCGGCCAGGTCCCGCTCTCTGTGACACCCCCACTTGCCTGCCTTTGGCAGTCTCACCTTCCTCACCAAACCTTGCTGCTTTAGACGGCGCCAGCCAACAGCAGCATTTTGTGGTGGGTGTCATGTTGTTCTTCAGATGCCAGGGTGTCATCGCGAGCGGGAACAGTGTGGGTCTGACTCTCTGAATATGCAGAAAGAAAAAGTAAAAAAAAAACCCAACCAAACCCCAAACAGTAAGCTTTACTTTCCAAATGTGTTCAATTCTTCTTTCCTCTCCTCGATATTTGGGGCGTGCAGCACCCTATACCATGTGGTTTAACATTTTGTTCTCTATTTGTAGGTCAACATTTCCATGATTAAACTTCATCCTTTATTCAGCCTGTTCTGGCTAGGCTTTGCAACACATGTGATATAAGCTGTTTTCACAGCTAGTAGGCCAAATCTTACTCTGAATAAGGGAGCCAAACATATGTGACTGAGTCAGACACTTAAAGCAACTCCCTGGTAAATGGGAGATAACTCCAGGTGCAGTGATGAACACTGAGAACCAAAAAAGTGGGAAGGGTGGCCAGCATTCCTCTGTACAGGAAAAGAGACATTCTATGCACACAGGCAGTGAAATCATAACCCTGCCCAAATTTTGTTCTCCCACATTTGCCTAAGGATACAGAGCCCTCTTCACTGGAGTTACCGGAATCTTTCCATTCGGGGTCAAGACAGCCTGGAGTAGGCTCAGCTGCAGCTGAGACAGGGTGTGCAGGAGGGGGATATGGTGGGAGGAAGTGAGGCCCTTTCTGAAGAGCCCACCTTGCATTTGCAGCATGCACAAGGAAGTTGCTGGGGGAACATGAAACACTTTGCATATGGCATTGCATTTCTTTCAGTTACCCTCTTTTCATCACCTTTACCTGTCTCATTTACTGACCGAGGTTGATGGTTCTTCTTTTACCTGGAGGCAGGTATCAATTGCTTTAAGTCCGTGGGGTTGGACTGGGTGACTTCTCTGCATAAATTTCTGGAAATGCTGGCCACCCAGAGTGAGAGTTACCCAACCCAATAATCCTAGGTGCAGAGGATTTGTGTTGAAGGACTCTCTTTCTGGCTGTGTGGCCAGCAGCCCTCCTCCTGTCCTTTGTTACCATCATCTGGTAACTGTTAGGTGCTGAGAAGCCTACAAGACTTGTCAGGTACAAACAGAAGGGCCAAGGGAGTAGATGGGCGTCATAAATAATCCAGACCTCCTGTGTGGTTGCTGTGTGACGTTCCTACCTTCACCAGGGCTGGACTGGTCTGGGATGTCAGATTGCTACACAGCAAGTACCAGAGTTGACTAGAGTGAATAACAAAGGAGAACTCCTGCAGTAGGTCCAGAGAAGACATGTTTTTCTCAAACGGACATGGCTGTACCCATAATATTGCAGAGAGAGGACTGTGCTTTATGTCTCTAATTTGGTGTTGAACTGTAGCATCACAGAGGGGAGTTGACAATGAACTGTTTCCCACAGGAACAAGCCTTCCAGAGTTCCACTTGGGCTGCCTCCCTCAGCTAAAGGAAATACAGGCAATGTAGATAGCAGGACTTTCATTGACATTTGCTTTTGTCTTTTTTTTTTTTTCATGGCACCCCTTCTTTAGCTTTTGTTCATCTGCTTTGGTTTTTTCAACAGCTTTTTTTCATTTAGGAAAAAAATGTACCCATCCAAAACTAAATCAAATCTGTTTTCTCGATCTTCAGTGGATAAACTCAAATAATGATTATTGTGGCTGTGTGAGTACTGTGCTATCCACAGTTTAGAAAGTCCTGTCCTGATAACACACACAGGATGAAATGTATGCACTAGTCTGGGGCTTTGAGGGCTGGCCTCATGGTTGGGCAAATCCCTCAGCATGCATGTGGGCATCTGATCAGCTTCTCTGCTATTGCATTGGGAAGAAAAGCAGGCTACAAGAAGTTACTGAGGACTTAATAGAGGGCAGGTGCCTTCAATGCTTGTCATGAGGTTAGGGGATGCTGCCCTGAATGAGGCACAGGAGTAGATGATTTGGTCTGGTGTGCCTGGTGACGTGAAACGGTGCAAGGCAGGGGGAGGATGAATTGCACACTCCTGGAAAGCAATAGGGAGAGTAGCATGATTTTGCCCTCACTGGAATGAAAGTTAATCCAGAATACACTGGAATAAATCCCTACGTGCATCAAAGATACATTGGTGTCAAATTAGTGGAAAGGAGAGGGGAATTGAGGCCAACTAAGATCTGCCGATAGGGTCAAGTGGCCTCTCTGTCCTTGGGTCTACCTTTTGGAAACATAAACTGCACCTCAGTTTCACTTTTAAAAATGAGCCAAATCCTGATGCGTACAAAAAGCAAGAGGAGTGGAAGAAGATGGGAAAGTTCTGTGATGAGAGTGCGAGAGAATCACAGCATGGTACAGTGATGTGAAGTTGAGGAAAAGAAAATTAAGATTTTTCTATCTGTTTTTTTAGACAAAAGAGGTTAAGTTACCGTTTTCTTATGCTTAAATAACAATCTCCCTCTTCCATGTTAGAAAAGATCTTGGAACCATACAGGAATGAATTAAGACTGTGGTACCAGACATAATTTCAAGTTAATAAAGAGATGGTGTGTTTTGTATTATCTTTTCTCTTGTTTCTGATTGTCTTTTTTGGGGGGTTGATATTACCGTAAGTAAATACATTTGCCTTTTGTTTCACTTTCCTCTGGTGACCTATTTCATTTAATTAGAAGGAAATGTATAATAGGAAATGAGTATCATCACACTGGGCTCCATCCAAAGCCTGTGAAATCATCAGGAACCTTTCCCGGGCTCTTCACTAGCACCAGGTCTGGCCTAGCAGAAAAAAGGGGCTATTTCCACCTTATCTGGAAGAATGTGTGCTGCCAGCATAAAAATATTATAGTCCTCATTTTAAGGTCTGGCCCAGATACTAAGGAATGATTTTGCTACTGCATATGCCTCTCTGTGCCACATGTTTCACATCTGCGGCAGCACGTTAAAGGATAAAGGTTCCTAAAACTTTAACTCTGAATATACATATAAAAAGAAGATACAAATTAAGGAAAAGATAAAAGATATTGATGGAAGTAGAGGAGATGCTCTTTAACATGCATATTATTGACTCAATAGATTGTTACGGCTTCAGAGCTATTAGGGTCTGCTGTGTCAATGTGTACTTAGGGACTGTTTAATATGCAGATGGTTGACATGACAGACTGGAGCCATTACAGTCTATCATGTCAGGGGGGATGCATGAATACGCACTTTGCCAACACTGTAAAAAGTCCCTTTAAAATGCAGGAGCAGTTTTTAAAAATAATTTAATAGATTCAGAGTTTGGATTTATCAACAACAAAAATTATTTCCAAATTAAGTCGTTCTCCATGTGGAATGTGCAGTCAGGAGTACAGGGTGTAATCTCAGATACGCAGCTCCTATCAAATCTTGTAAAATTAGCTATTGCACTTGTGCATGTGTAGAAGAGATCAGAATCTATCTGTCGGCATGCGTCTTTTTGAAGAATGTAGTTTTGTCTTTTTGAGGGGTAAGGGAGAATGTCGTCTCTTTTTTCATTCAAATAATCTTCAGTAGCAATTAAATAGCTTATGCTACCTAAGAGATCAGTTATTACAAGATAAGCAGCATGACAGTTTGGAAAACCGAATAAGTCTTTGATTATTTACTAAGTTTTGATATCTGCTATTTGCCTCGAAATGCTAAAAAGTGAAGTATAAGATACAAACATGAAAGACTCATTTGATCATCATAAGGAAAGGAATCAGTAGTTTTGCTTTTCTTTTCCTCAACAACTTATTTTTTATTAAAATAGCAAAGCCAAGTGTTGTGTTTAATAAGATATATTTTTTTCATTTGAATATCAAATGGAAAAATACAATTAAAATATTTCTGCTTTTACATTAATTGTAGGCTATATTTCAGCAACGCATATATCTAAGAAGCTCAGCATACACATTTGGTATATATTAGATGCTTCTAACAGATGCCCAGACCTCTTCCCCTGATTTTTAATGTTCTTTTTTATGGCAGTGATCCAGGGACATTTTAATTTGCAAGCCTGTGAATTTGGAAATAATACTTGTAGTGGGGCATTATGTCTAGTCCATTCCCTCTAAGTTTATTGTCCTGTGTCACCTAGCTCTGATTTTAGCTGATTTGCTGGACTGAGTCGCACTGTGCAATTCCAGCACAAAATTCACTGAGCAAAAGCACTCTGCCTTGCAAATAATAGTAACTGTGCAGTATTATAAAGGCCTTTCCTCTTATCTGTGGGACAGCTGGGGGACAAATCTTTCTAAGAAGTGCATTTTCAGGCAAATGTGATGGCTGATTTTTGACAGCTCATTTTACTGCCTGGTGCTAACAGGGAGACCACTGAGGTAATCAGGATGTGGTGGTGATGGATAGGGCAAGTACCAGGAGGTAGAAATGGACATTTCCCATAATCTGTTACACACAGGTGTTTCTGGGTCTTCTGTGAGATTTCTACAATGACACAGGAAAGCCAGGAAAAGCTTAGGGAAAAAGAGGGGTCTGGGAAAACCCAGGATATGGCTTCTTCTTACAGCTGAATGAATTCACCCTATGCCCCAGGAGAAATCCCTAGCAGGAGATGCCTCTCCTTGTGCTGAGTTACCTCAGCAACAAGGAAGGACCAAGCAAGAGGAGCCTGAGCTGCTGGAAAGTGTATCATAGCCTCAAACTGCATCAGTGCCAATGGGAAAGGTGCACCTCGCTCCTTCCCCAGCTCTTGGAAGGCGGGCACACCCCTGTGGTTGCTCTTGGCAGCTGGTGGCGACCACAGCTGCAGGAGTGGTGGTCCCCACAGCCCTTCTTGCTCCGTCTCTGACCATCATGGTGGTTGGGACAGGGGCAATGTGGCTCTCCAGGACTCTCTGCCTTTTTCCCCCAGAGCAGCCCTGGAAGCTCCATATCCCTTTCTGTGTACCCATGTGCAGGGAAATATCATCAGCTGAAAGAGGCACGTCTGAGGGTGCAATGTGGAGTGCTGCATTACCTGGTGCTAATCAATAAAGTGAAAATGTAGCTTTTTGACAGCGCTTGTAATTTTGACTATTGCAATGGTGTGCCATTTCTTTGAATGCACTATGCTTCTGTGCCCCATTAAAGCATGGTTGGCATCGCTTTCAACTATTCACAAATGCTGAGATGTTGAAAAATGTAACATTTACAAAAGATACATCTGGTGTATATTTACAAGGCTCAGGAATCATTTAAGTAGTGCCTGTGCCATCACCATATTAGGAGAAAAGTTAGTCCCAGCCGCATATGTGAAATCAGTAGTCGAACATGTGCTGGTTGAAAGTCCACTGCTATGACAGAGGATTTTGGGGTGTTAAATGTGAACATATCAACCTAGGTGTACACCTGATTGAGATAAGGATGGATGCACGTGACATATGTGATAACTGCCCATAGACACCTGTTTCAAACGGCATGTTCACAAGAGGGTTATGGATTTGGAGGAATAAATGCTTAAATATTTTTTTATTAAAGAAGAATCTTTGGCTTCTCACTGGGAGATGTCATCATACCTTTTCCTGTTCTTCAATGAAAATTGTAAGACCTACATAGCTAAGAATCAAGAAAAAAGCTATTGAGCAGCTTCCTTTATATCACATAACATGTCAAGGACAAAAAGGTGTTTGTCTTCTCCTGCCAGTGCAATACCACTTAAGTTACATTCGAAAACTATTTTTTAATTAATGCAATGGGTCATGTTTTCACCACACTAAGGCAGGAAATTCAAGGTAAACCAGATACTCCTTTTCTCAGTCAAACACACATGAATTAAGCATCTAGCATCAGACTTAATTTCAATTTCTAGGTCTGTAATTGAATCTAGCTCAATGTGAACTTTTTTTTCTACACCATCACATTGATATCTGGATGTTAGTGACATTATTTAAAGCAACAAATCAACCTATAGGACTGTGTTCAACTATATGTCATATGACAGTAAATGGAATAAAAAAAATGTTTCTTTTCTCTAGGGGCAGATTTGTTAAAGAGTTTTCATCTTTTGTCAAGATATTTAATCTTGGAATGTTTTAAAAAAAATGCAGTTTGTACAAGTGCAGATTTCTGCATGCACAGTTTGCCTGATTGCTAATTTGGCTGAACACACTTAGGCTTAACACAGGCAAATGAGAGAGGAAAGATAATTTTTGCATATATCCTTCTGAGTCAAGTGTGAGTCCCTGGACTCTATAAGGGAAGCAGGCATCCACTTTTAGGGCTGAAGGCTGCCACTCTGGATCACCCTGTACATCAGTCTCAGTTCATGCATGTCAATGAGAACAAATCCTAACAATGAGCTGTTGAGTGATGCCAGCAGAAATGCATGTTTCTGAAAGCTTCAGGGTTTTGGAGAAAGCAGCTGAAGGCGACTCTGCGGCGCTCACCAGTGCTGCCTTACTGAAGGAGGGTGAGATTTTGGCACAAGCCTCCCATGTAATGGACAATTTTGAACACACCTTTGTTTTTCAGCAGTCTGAGTAAAGCTGGTACGGGACTATAGAATGAAGCCAAAATGCCCAACCGTGTTATTTCCTCAGAGGGGTTCACTACAGAACAACCTAACCTAAATTATTAGCGCTACTAATAATTATTATTATTCATTGCTTTTGGTAAGCCTGTCGCTCCATCACAGTAGCAATCATGTACTGGGATGTGTACTGCTTAGGACATCAGACTCCTTTGGAAGTGGATGATTGTTTAATTGATAGATTGTAAAGATGGGCTGACATATTGCTTTTTCATCTTTTGCTTTGTTTCTGTTGCCTGGACTCTCGCAGCTCCTTAGTATCTTTCCTGATCCATCATGTCAAGCTGGCAGCTGTGCCTCTACACACTGCCTTCCTGCCCACCACGAGCCAGATTTCACTCTCAGATGCTTGGTGTACCCTCCTCCCTCACTGTCCTCTCACTGGAGAGCTGATTTTGCCTGCACCTCTATTAAGCAGCTTGATTTTAATGGGAACAACGGCTTCTCCCATGGGTCCTTCTCAATCCAGGGCACTAGGCATGCAAGGACACAGGAGGACACATTCCCAGATGTCCCTAGGTGTGTGCTATGTATCCAAGATCAGGCTCTTGCCTGACATCTGTGGACTGAGCCCCCCACTCACCCAACTGAATGGTCCTACTCAATACCGTGGCCATTTTAATTTGGAGATATTTCCTACACTCTGTGTAACTTCTGCCCTCACTGTGGGCTCTCTGCTTTTCTCAAGCTTAATTTCTCTGTGCCATGCAGGCCCTCAAAGGATGGCATCTTAACAGAATAAATTCCATTTTACATTGGTCCACCTCGAAAATTTTCCTCAGAGGTTTCCACCTCCTCCCTAACACTAGATAAAAATGATTGGAAAGTGGTTGAAATGTTATAAGCAGATTTTCAAGAAGGAACAGATTTCTTTTTTACTGCCAAGCTGTATAATAGGTGTTTTTGAGAGGTCGTTAACTTCAACAGTATAGTCAGAAACAGTGTTACACCCCATACTGCATCCATCATTAAGCAATTAAGTTACTCATAGGCTTTTACATTTATTTACCTTGATGGAAAGATATGTTTACTGAACCTGAGTACAAATCAACATGAGAAGGTGGAAGTTCAGAGTAAATTTGACTAATGATGATGTGTTTTCATCCCTAAAAGAAAGAAAAAAGCCTCCCTGCTTTTGATGCTATTTTATCTTCATTGGAAGGGATCCGAAATGATCCTAACTGTCATGTGAGCACTCAGTTAGGTTCAGATCCTCTTTGATTGCAGCTGAATATCTCTTTCCGTTGGCTCATACCTTCCCTTATATGAATACAGTGTACAGCACTTCAGGTTGTTTGTTGAATAGCGCTTTAACTCTTCCTCTGTGAACGCCCTTACAATTATATCTTTAAGCAAAATGTGGGCTGTGGCCACCTGTGCCCGAGGAGATGTTAATGTGGCTGCATCACTCATGTGAAGGAAGAATTTCCTCTTGGTTTCAGAATAACTTCTAAAATATGAACAAACCATATTTCTTCCAGTGAAACTTAATTATCTCTGGTTTTTTTTTTAGGCCTGCTCTCTTCTCCACTCTTGCTACAAGGATTTTTCTCTCTCCAAGTAATTCCTCAGCATCGCCTTGAAAGACATCTGCCACACGTGAGCATCCTCCACAATCTCTAAGATACTTTTGTTGTTTTTCTTCTTTGAACATTTGTTTTTTTGAGATGACATTGACAGACATGAGGCCTAAGTCTGGAGATGTTCTGTGGGTAGAACTCACATTTATTTCAGTATGTCGAGCAGCTTTAGGATCTGATCCATATTGAAGACTAACATGGCGTAATGAGGCCTGGGCATATAAAACAATATGTATTCTAACACAGCTCACTCAAAACAAATATGTTCCCTTCTCCCAGGCTGGTATAAACAAACAATCTCCATTGTGTTCCACACGGTTCTGTTGCACTGCCTTGCACATAGCAAGAGCTTGGCTTCCCTGTTCACAAAAATGGGATCTCCATCCTGTGACATGAAGCTTTCTGCTGCATGCCCAGACAGACCGGTACCTTAGGACACTGTTCCTAAAAACTGACATTAGGTCCGGTGTTAAATCCTAAATGCTTTATGGGCAAAGTTTTCTTGTACAGATATAATTAAGAGGGTCTTGTTTCTGAGTCCTGTGCACTTCAGTCTGACAAAACTGACTCTGGATTGCACAGTTGAAAAGCAGAGAATCAGTGTAACAGTTGATGCAAGATCTGCTCATGCTGACCCATAAAATCTTCTCCAGTATCTAAATTTCCTTGAGACAAAAATCGGCAGCTGTGCGAAAAATTCGTGATGACTCGAGGTGGAAACATTAGCAGGGGAGAGTTCAAAACTCATGTGTGAGATCCATTGTCCGTGTGAAGTGCAGCAAGTTTGAACCCAGGTGTTCCTTGTGCGATTGAACTCAGACTTTTATGCCATTCTGCAAAGCCATTACCCTCTCCTGTAACTTGTGCTAGAAGCGGAGTGAGCTGTTCTGGCACTGAAATGATTTCATTGTTAGGCTAAGTGTTACACAGATGGTATTCTTAAATGTAAAATTCTTTTTATGATTCTTTCAATTTCATATTTATTTCATTAGATCATTATTTATGTTAAAGAGTCACTATTAATCTGAAACGTGCTCAGCTTGAAAGAAAATGTTGAGAGGAGTTTCAGGTATCTGATCCTTAATCCTTTAGTTTTTGTGTTTTGCATTTTCCTATTTAAAATGGTTTTTTGTGTCTCTAGGTGCTATGTGACAGATCCACACAAACAACAGAGGGGAAAGAGCCTCACTTAACTGATTAGAGGAGTGAAGCAGTGAAAGGGAATATGCACAAAGCGCTGCCAAGTTCACAGAGCAAAGGAAAAGATAAAAAAAGAATCATTTCACTGGCTTTTTTTTTTTTATAGAGAGTAATGTGAGGTATTTCTTATACTAGCAGCAGGGAAACAATTTTCAGACAAAAATGTGATTTCTTAATCAAGGGTCTCTAATTCAAAATATATTTATTTAATAAACAGTAATTATGATAGCAGCAACTACTCATTCATATCAATAATTCATTCAGAAGTAAACCATATCAACATATTAGCATTTATTTTTCCATTTAATAGGCTGTGATTTAAAATAAATATAAATCATCATAATCATTCAGCTCCATATGCTGGAAAAGAAAAAGTCACCTTAAACCAGATGCATATTGTGAAAAAAAAAAGAAAAAAAAAAAGAAAAAGGGGAAGACAAGTTGTTCTAAAGAAACGGCATATGGGAGCAGATCTTAAGCTAGGGTAAAGATATGGTGCTCTGTAGATGTCAATGTAGTTTTAGATTAGATATTAAGAAATTCTTCACTATGAGGATAGTAAGGTACTGGAACAGGTTATCCAGAGAAGCTGTGATACCCCATCCCTGGAATTGTTTAAGGCCAGGTTGGATGGGACTTTGAGCTGCCTGCTGTAGTGGAAGGTGTCTCTGCCCACGACAGTGGGGTTGGAACTAGACAGTCTTTAAGGTCCCTCCCAACCCAAACAAATCTGTGATTCTATGATTCGATGATAGCAAGGCTGAGTTATGCCAAATGAGATTCTAGTCAGTAATTTTCAAGAACTGGGAGTCACATACTGATTTCTGTCTTTTAGAAAATAGATAAATATGATTTCTCTCAGTTTTAATTAGGAAAAGGCAATATGTGTGATCAAGAAAATTCTAGTTTGAAGTTGCTTATGTATGGAAAAAATAGGCTCTTTGCAAGTCCTAAGCTGACTCTGCACTTGTACCTGCTTTTGTGCTTGGAGCTGTATTTATTTTTCCTGTCTCTATTTAGCCAAACCCTCTCCTAACTTGTACCCCTGACTTACCCACATCATTTTGTCAGCTGACATCTCTTTTTCAGCTCCCTAACCCCTCAGCACTCCTGAGGCACTGCTGTTGAACACTTTTGTTTCTGTACCCTGTCTGAGATCCACAAAGTGGCATTTGGAGGCTGTGGAGCAGGGTTGTACTTCTTAGGAAAATTGTTTTTTTTTGCTTTGGACATAGGGAAAAAGCAATGAAGGGCTCAAGCCCCGGACAGCGTATGCCACTGCTGCTACAGCGTCTCAAGCAGTTGGTGTAGGTCTTGTCTTTCTGCTTTTTTTGTTGCTTTAGCTTTCAGTAGGTGAAGCTGTGGTGGGGAGTAGGGTGTCACTGCTCTGCTCGTTCTGTTCCCACATCCAAGCTAGCACCGATGGCCTTGCCACAGCCGTATGGCCCTCTTGTCCTCTGACGAGCTCAGCAAAGCCCTTTCTCTCCCATAGACAGAGCGTCCCGTATTCCGGCAGGGAAAATAAGGCTGTGCATCACTCCTTTCCCTGAATTATTGCAGTGATACTCTTAGAGGACTGGGGGAGGTGGTGGCTGCAGCCACAACGCTGTGAGCATGGTGCAGGTTAACTCTGTAAAAAGGTGTTTTCATATCCTTGCAGGTGAGTTTTGTCACCTGTATAGTTATCATGTTACTCTTCCAAGGCCGTTGGTGCTTTCCCAGCAATGACTGCCCTGCGCATGTAGCCTGCTCCGCACAGGGATCTATAGTCTCAGGCAGTCAAGTTAAAGTGGTACCCGATTTTTTTTTTTTCCCCAGTCTCTGCCATGCTTTACATTGTTAGTATTCCTCCAACAATTTTTAAGGAGAAAAGTGAGTCATGTTTGATTTTCCCTATTTTAGTAGAGAAGAGCCATGTTTTTTCCACAAGTTATTGCATTATTCCTCTCTTCGGTGTGGCTCTGATTTAGTGCTGGATGAAGCTCAAAAGGAGGATTAGTGTAGATAGACTCCCATATGCTTGGATGCATTTCTGAACTGTGTACTATCCTCGCTGCTTTTGATAGAAAGAGCTGGGCTATAAACCTGATAAGAACAGGCTTCCATGCAAGATGTTTAGTATTTCCTGCTTCCATTTGGGCCAGGAATAAGGCACATCCAGCCCCTTTTGGCCCTGCTGCTCTTGGTCATGGGCTTGCCTGAAATTTAGTAAATCACAGTGGTGGAAAATGAATGGGGGAGTGAAAGGAAGTTGATTTTTCTCCACTTTAATATAAGTTAGATTAGGGTTTAGTTCCGGCTTTGGCAGAAACTTTGCTGGGGAATGGACAAAGGTAGAATGTTTTTATTTTAATAGAATTGGTTCATCTATCTTTTAGATAGTTTCACTGGAGTGCAAGTCCATTTTTACGGTCCTGAGTAAAAGAACTTGGGCTGCTTTTAAAGACCTGTACCTTCTGGGAAAATTAGAGCTGGCTGTAAAACTCTGACTGTATTGTATTCAAGGCAATTGTGAGCATAGGAAGCGAGAAAGAAGAAGAGAAAGATGAAAGAGGAAGAGAGGGAGGCTTCCCAAAGATAAGCTGCTACAATGAGTCATGCTACTCCTCCATGCTTGGGGGGCTTAATACCTGATCATTTTTCTAGCTGGTAATCAAATTGTTAAATAGTGTAACATCAAGGAGCACTGAAGTTGATCCTAAAACTGTTGTTGTACTACTGTTTTGGGGGTTTTCTTCCTTAATATTTTTTTTTAAAAGAATCTCCCAATAGTACTCTTATCAACTGATCATTTTTCTGATTCTCCCCTCCATTACAAAGGTTTCCAAGTTCATGAATGAAAGGCTATGTTTTCTCAAACAAATCCTCCACTCCTCGGTCTATTACTAAAGTATTGTTAACTTACAAGATTTGACTGAAACCTCAGGGTCTGCCAGCTGGATGTTTGAGGAGTCCAAGATGGCTAGGTAAAGAAACACCTTTTTCACATGATCCAGCCCAGCTCCCACGTTGCCCCACAAGTTTCTATCAGTACAAAAGCTGACATTGTCTGCAAGGAGCAACTCAGATTACGGTCTCTTCCAGCTGCATTGCCCCTGACCCCAGTCCTGCCCTGGGCTGCCCACGGTCTGCCCTCCTCGCATGCACAGAGACTTCAGCTGCAACTCACTGCCTGCCAGCACTGACTCTGGTCTTGAGGGTGGCCTTGAATGCATTTTAAAAGGCAGCACAGATGCTTTGTGAGGAGGATAACATGGAATGATTATTTTAGGGCGGATTTTCCCCTAAAAAAATAACAGTTCTACATGCACACAGTTTGATCTTCACACAAAGGATTTATATAAGAATTCACTTCTCTCTGTCAGTGACAAAAAAAGCATGCTGGTGGGATTTAGGGAAGTGTGCAGGCTAAAGGATAGCAGCAGACAAAAGGAAATTTTTCTTGTAAGATCATCTGTGCAGCTGGAACTCTGGTATCGTTGTGATTTGAAATCCTATAGGTATTGCCTGGCTGGGGCAAGGGACAATGCCTCTTTGGCACCCTCCTGACATGCAAATGTAGCCAGAGTTCTTAGAGCAGTCCTCAGCCCCGTCCCTTGTTTTGTACACACAGATGCATGCACATTACTTTGCTGTCAAATGGCTGTTTTGGGGAATCAGCCACCCAGGAGGTAAACTGTACATAAATGATCTAAGGGTAAAGGTGGCGGAAGAAACTCTGTTTCCTTTACATGCTGAAGTAGATACAAAACAGGCACAAAGTTCACCTGGACTCTCAGGAATAGAATAGCTGCAATGGCTCTAGACCAGCAGAAAACCAACATCGCTGACTCCTAGATGCCCTCTAAAAATGTGCCTATATCTCAGGCCGGAGTGACTTAACAGTAGGTTTGCTAGAGAAACAGCCCTGACAGTCTAGCAAGAACCCAACAGGATATGAAAGATGCTCCCCTGTGGCACCTGCACCTCCAAAAGTCTTTTTAAGGTCAGGTCTACACCTACGAGTAGAGCACTGCCTAGCTCTGTCTTTGTGGCATGAAGGAAACATATGTGTGAGTCTGGAACTGCTCAGATTTTTGTCTGTCTCAGGCTGGCCCCATTCAGCCTTCTCTGCCCTTCCCGGGGAGTGAGTCCCAGATCCAAAGACAGATCCTAATGATATAGCCTGTGTGCTTGCTTCTAATATAACATGATGCTTAAAAACTGAATATAAGCAGGGATGAGGCTTTAGATCTTCCTCAAATCTCAGTGTAACTTTGAGGTTGTCAGACAGTACTGAAGTGAGAGATCTGGAGTAGGAAAATTAGTGAACACAAAAGTCATGATATTTACTCAGTTTATGCATTTTCTCTCCTTTTTTTTTTCATAAAACCTGCATAACTGGCATGTAATTGTTTTACTAAGTGAGTCTTGAAAGCAAAAGTCTTGATAGCTGTCACATATCTTCTTTGTAGTAAAGTGTGTTGTCCTCAGAAGATAATCAGTAGAACTTGCTCAAAAAAACTTAATCAGCAGAACTGAGCGTATTGTCAGCGCTTAACAAATAATAAATTATAACAGCAGTTCCTTTTGACACAACCTATCAAACTTTTTCTTTCTTTCCTGAATGCTTTACTCACCTCTGTTTAGGATTTAATACCTACTACAACTCTGTTTTTTATGGTTGAGAGGACTGGCGATACAGCCTAACAGGATGGAAGTATTAATTGAAATGAAATTTTGACAAATGGCAGAAAAAACCTCCAAGAAAATTCTTAGGCTGTTCCTTTTCACTTACTGATATTGCTTATAAGTCTTAAAAACTGAATTAAAGAATAGATTTGATCTGTTCTATTGTTATAATGTAAAACACTCTGCTTACATGTTAGTAGAATCACTTTCAAATTTCCTGATAGTCTGTTTTTTTTAAAGACAGACAAATTACCTTTTCTTTACAGAAAGGTGAATGTATCCAAAAGCACATCTAGTATCATTAATTATTTTTATTACAAGGAGCTTGGTTAGCTCAGAGAGTTGTTAACATACCTGTGGTTATCACTTTGTCACCATCGTAATTTGGCCTGGGCTGGGAGTTACCGGCAATCATTTCGTTTGCTGTTCATTTGGTAGCTTCTGTGCAATTTTTTTTTGAGTTTTATTCACTTTCAACAAGACGTATATTCATGTCATAGAGAAAACCACCGGGTCATCTCTAAGCTACCACTAATTGTCACAGGCTTAAATGGACCCATTTCAATTTATCCCAGTTGAGGATCTGACCAGTGATCACAACGGGCATTAATTAGCAGATGTGTTATCAGAATCCGTGGAGATGTCCTGGTTTGAGTGACAAGAGAAGTGCTCAGCTGCTGCAGCCGGTGGAGCCGTGCCAGTTTGGCAGCTGACGGCACAGCACCCGATGCCGGCAGGTGGAAAGTCCAGGTCACCCCTGATGGAGGCACAGTGGTGGCTTCTGTCACAAGTCTCCATGTAGAAGGAGCCCTGGAAGGAGCCCAGAGCACCAAGCAGCTGATTGTATTAAAGCAGAAGCAACACAGGGCACCTGGGAGTGGGAAGGCAGGGAGAGAAGAGAGGGAAAACGCAGCACTGAACCGACTCATCCTGAAGCTGGGTTTACACAAGAGATTGCACTGCTAGTGACAGGGGAGAGCCACTAGCAAATGTGTTGGGGCTCTGGCTCTCCATGTGCACCATATGAACTGACACTCCAATGCCACTTGTGCATGCGTGGCAGAAAGGTGGGGCAGACACATCTAAAAAGAGGGGGTCCTAAGAAACAGTTGGTTTTCACAGAAGCAGCTACTGACAGTAGCAGTGCTATTATGGCTGTAAACTAGGGGTTCAGACCATGACTAGAAGAGTGTCTTGAGCAGGTCATGGGGGTGAATGGAGAGCAGGAATGTGAAAAATTTGAGATGCTGCACCTTTATGGGGAAAAAAGAGAGTAACACCCTCCTACTTTGCTTATCTGAGTGCAGCATGGGTTAAAATCAAGGCAATAACCTGTGCAGATACTAATTGTTCAGTAGCAGCCATTTCGTCTTCTTTCTCACGCCCACATACCATCACAGGATGGTGGGTAGGAACAAGTTGTCAAGCTAATAGTGTGGGACCTTTGTAAAGATTTACGGCCTCCCAATATTTACAGGACAAACCTGGACCACAGGTAGCTCAGGGAGTAATTTTTTCAGCTGCTGACACAGTTTCAAAATTTCCTTAAGTAAATTGACCCATGCAGTTTGATTCACTGGGAAAAAAAATCTTTTCATTGTGTGATCTTTTTATCGTAACCCAGGAAAGGAAGACAGCAGGAGAGTGAGAGCTAAATAGTACTGGGAATGGAGAAGTCTTTAGACTGGTCCCAGACCTCTGACCCTGTCGATGGGAAGATGCAGAGTATTTGAGGAAGGTGCAGATTTTGTCACCCTTCCTGTACACTTCTCCCACCACTTAAAGCAAGATATGAAAATTTTTCTGTGAAAAATCTGGGTCCTTCTCTGAATAGCTGTCTCTGGGCCCAAAGCCACAAAAGGGGATGACTGAAACTCATGTGGGATATAGATGTGCAAGTCCAGATTCCCAACCCACACACAAGTTCACCTGAATTTTTGATAAGAAGGATCTTAAGACATCTAAAATCCACGTTCTGCTCCTGTCTCTGGCCAGTCCCTAGCTCAGCTGAGTTGAACTTCCCAGCAGTTAATCCCGATTCACCTCTTCAAACTATCCATGCTTTGCTCACATGTCTATCGAGAATGGCCTGGCAAAGCATGTGTAACACAGGATCAGGACTGAGCAGTATATAAAGTACAGCAGCCATGTTCACTGTCATTCAAAGTAAATATCTTCAAAATCTGCCCAAGTCCTTATCTCTTATCTGCAATGAAATCAGGAACCCTAGCTAGGAAGCTACAAGCTAAATATTCATGGGGGAAGAGATTTTCCATACTTCCTGCAGAAGTGGTGCTGAAACGCATAAGGTTCTCTGGGAGGAGTTTAAGGCAATAAGGTGGAGAATAAGATACAATCTCCATCCCTATTCTGCTGAATTAACTTGCTGTTTTGGATTGGTGCAAGACAGAGGATCTCTTTTGGTATACTCATTGCTGCGTAAGGTGTTTCTTAAACATTGTCTTCTCAGCCTAACGAAAATACAGTGATTTTTCAGAAAAATCAGTAGAACATAGTCTCAAAGGATATGATGATTATTGGAGTTTTAATTAAAATAGCAGGTAAAATAAGTATTATGGTGTGCTATTATTTCTAAAATAACAACAGAATAAAGATGCCCATTTCTTTCTTGAGTGCAATTTTCTAAATGAAAAAGTAAACATTAATATCTGCAGAGATCTTACTGATCTTGTATGATAATTTAGAAAAATATCCCTATTAGGGATAGTTATATATGCTTTTTGTTGGAAATGCAATCACAGGATACGCACATAGCTGCAATCTGTAGACAGATTAAGTAAATTAAATCACTCAATGTCTTTTTTCAATAGCTCTAAATTTAAAAGTAATTTGCAAAGAAAATACTCAGTTTCAATTGGTTTGTAATATCTGTTAATGATCTTTGGAAAAATTTCTGATAACATGCAGGAATTCCCTCAGGGACAGGGTTGTGAATAAGTGGATTTTTTTAAGTTTGAGATGTCATTAGCTAGTGATTTCTTTGAAGTAAAAAGCTGTTACAGAATAAATTGCAGAGGTATACAAGTGAACAGGACAATCATTTTTATGAATAATATACATTATTTTCACTGTGCTTTCTGCCCTCCAAAGAAATAATTTACAATCTAACTTGTCATTACAAACATCCTGGAATCACAACTGCATGTGCATTTTGTGCTTACTTTATGTATATGCTCTGACTCTATATAAAAGTACAGCTTGGTAGTGTCAAACCACTGGTGTAAGGAGCTTATTTCCTTTTATTATTTTTTCCTTTTCTTTTCCCCCCAGTAGATAACTTTTTCAAACCACAAGACTGAAACAACTTCCCTTAATTGAAATGACTCCAGAACAGCTATTCCCTAGAAGACATCCTCCTTGATTTCTTGCGGGACCTGTAAGATGACTGAAGTCGTAGGTAAGTGTAATCATGGAAAAAAGGGTCTCTATTCTCTTGGTACCTTGTTAGCATTAACATATTCTTAACAGTTCAGAGACAAATCATATATCTATCATGCATCACCATAAATAGGTAACACTTCTCATGGCAAATGAGATCTCCTGGCTTCTGTCCCCACCTTAGGATGTCTGAAGTAGAAAAGAGTGCCAGAGACACCACAAAACATGGAGAATGTTGTCCTGCTTCTGAGGTTCAGATATACAACTCAACCATGGGCAGCTGAGGATGGACTTTCTGCCTCCATAGGTTTCTGTGGGTAAGTCTGGGGTTTAGATGGGAACTGGGGACTCTCTGAAGGGGTGCTGGTCTGGGTAAAGGGGCACTAGGACTCCCGTGTGTGCTGTCACACAAATCAAAAGATACAGCTAGTTGCAGCCACTGAGCTTTGATTTCCTCACCTTTCTCTAAACCTTTTCTACCTGAAAAAACCTTACTGAACTTGGTCTGCTTTTTCCTGATCTACAGGCGGGGCTGAAGACACACCATGCTAGCATGAGTATGACTGTTGCCTCCAGGGTTCCCACAAAGGGCTGGAGGAGAAAGGATTTTTCCAGGTCTAGAAAGAGATATGATAGCCACTAGTTTGAAGAACCTCGTAGACTTTCCTGATCCTCTGAAGGCCCAGTGTAGGAATTGGTACCTGCCCTGATAATCCATCAATAGATCAGAGAGCCCCTTGCTTCTCATACATAGATGTTTAATGACACTCTGCAGTTAAGCTGAGAGTAGTGGGCCTTCCTGGCTGCTCCTCAGCAGCCCCTGGCATTGGTCAGTCCTAAGATGCCTGGACTTTGACAGAGATCAATACCAGACCACATATAAGGAGATTCTCCCTCCTCACTGTGCATTTAACAGTGTCACGGTTTACTATGGATTAAGATGCTGTCTTGACACTGTCTGTTGACTGGCATACACCATGAACCCCTGAGATCATTACACATTATTACATAATTGCATCTAGTGAAACTCACAGATCTTTTAAGGCTAGGAGCAACCATTATTGTCATCTAATCTTATCTTCTGTTTAATGCATGCTACTGAATTTAACCCAATCTGAACTTCGTGTGAAGATTTGCTTTTATGCCTAAAAATGCCTAAAAATGCCTCCTCGCTTACAAATACGATGTTGTTTCTCTCAGTACTAACTCTGCAGCAGCAAGTTCCATTAATTAACTGTACATTGTTTGGAAAAGCAATACCTCCTATCTGTTTGAAATTCAATACCTTTTCGTTTCACCTTGCAGGATAGGAAAGATTTTTTTCCTTTGCTGCTAATTAAGTTTGAAGATCATGAGGATGAAATGTTATTTATATTATAGTCATGCTTAAGCAGGACTCTGGCACAGCCTGGAGATCCCACCACACAAAGTGAGGGAGACTGCGCAAGTCCTTCGGCGCTCAGACTATTTTAATAGAAAAAAGGCACGTTTTTGAGGAAGACGAGTGATTTAACTGAAAAGGTTACCAGTCAAGTCAATGGATTTGTACCTCTCAATCACCTCTGACTTTCAGAAGTTTTAAAGAAAGGTAGGGAAAAGCAAAGTCTCTAAAAGACCAGAAAAATAAGTCAGGGATACGGTCAAGTCCCTGGAAAAGGATTTTCCCTTTTCCTGTAGTGACAGGACAAGGGGTAATGGCCTTAAACCGAAGAAGATTAGATTTAGATTAGATATTAGGAAGAAATTCCTTACTGTGGTGGTGGCGAGACACTGAAACAGGTTGCCCAGAGATGTTGTGGACTTCCCATCCCTGAAAGTGTTCAAGGCCAGGTTACATGGAGCTCTGAGTAACCCAGTCTAGTGGAAAGTGTCCTTGCTCATGGTGCCGGCTTGGAACTAGAATTTAAGGTCCCTTCCAACCCTAACCATTTTATGATCCTATGATTTAATATAGGAAAAAAGGTGTTACTTAACTCTGTGTTCTGTCCACTATCCATGGGTCAGACTGGCCTTCAGTGGCTGAAAGTTCTATGAGAGGACAGGGTACACTGTGGAAAATACCTTCAATATCTGATACATGCAAGGGCCCAGAGCCTTCCAGAAGAACTGCTGGGGTCCAAGGACATCTTCTAGATTATCTCAGACAACATGTATTCAGATTTTATGGAGAGGGTTCATTCACTTTGTGTATGATTTGAACCGTAGAATGATTAAAGACATCTAAGATCATGGAATCCAACCATTAATCTAACACTGCCAAGTCCACCACTAAACCATGTCCCTAAGTTCCATATCTGTGAATGTCCCATGAGGATAAATCTTCCCTGAGAGACAAGCTAACATTTATGTTCTTTAACTTTTCTCAAGAAATTTCCCATCCTTTTGACTTTTATCATTTTTATTACCATTCCCTGGACTTGTTCTATTTCCACTTTCTTTTTTCAGGAATGAGGTGACCAAATTTGAAGACAGTATTCAAAGTGAGGATGTGCCACTGATTTATATAATAGCATTATAATATTTTCTATATTATTCTCTAAAACTCTTATCTTTGTACAAACCCCATAAGATTCTTTTAATTCTTTGAACTACAGTGCCTTTTAACATCTGTAGTTTACTCTGATCACATTTTAACAAAGGAATAAAAGGCTTCATTTTTCACATAGAATTTTATTTATTGTTTGAACTTTAGAGGAGAAATTGGTTAACTTACAATTTAAAATTCTTGGCAATGTAGACTATCGGGCAAGAATATAATTATCAGCCCTTCTATACTTACTGTAGAAATGTGTGAGACTGAAAGTTGGTGTGTAAGGTCTTGACTCAATAGACTTGTCTTTTGTCTTATAAATGCAGACAAAGACATAATTTTGAGCTGCCAGCATCCCCAAAGATGTCAGAAATGTCATTCACCTGTACCTCCTTCCTGATGAAACATGCTGGAGCCATAAATTTGCATGCTGTTCAATCAGGACCACGCACATGTGCAAGTAGTACCTGACTTCTGCAGTCTCCCATTTACTGTACCACACACCTCCACGCCAGGTCGGAGGAAGACCCCTTTGAAAATGAGGCGCTTGATGATTGCAGAGGGTAAGGATCTTGCTCTCATGTCACAGCTTGGCGTTATGCCTTCATCAGGGTATTAGAAAAGGCTCAGGGAAAATGGTTACAGTTATTCTATTGCCTAAGACACTTCCTGCAGCTACTGCCTTTCCTTAGAATTACCAATCCAAGTGGTGACCCTGCCTGACCCTACTTATCTTGTAAAAGCTGACAAGATCACAGCCTGAAGCAGTATAGCCACAGGCTCAATACCGGCTACCAAAATGTCTGTTTAGTATTTTCAAGAAATGCTGCTCTAAAGATTTACAATACCAGCTGCTAGATACACGAACAACACCAGCACACAGCTCTGACCCCTGAACATTCAGCCCCACTTACACAGAAATTTGTGTCTCTCAAGAGGCCAACACCGAACTGCTACGAAACAGTGATTCCCTACCTGCAAGCACACTGGATTTTTAGCACTATTTGATTATATATACTAAGATATTAGGTGAAAGTATTCGAAAACTAGTTTGAGTTCAGAATTTATTGTTAGCTTTTTTTCATCGGTTACATTACTGCTTTAGCAACAGAAAGAGCTCTGCCATTTCTGTGTAATACCTTTTTTTATTTCAGTGTAGAGAATTTTCTTCATCCTTCCATGACCAAAGTAGTTTTTCATCAGAAGTTATTTTTAGATGAACTCTAAGTTTCTTTCCTAGCAAACATTTTAGCTGCACTGTATGAAAGGAAATGCACATTTCCCTAGATATCTCTAAGGATAAACACAGGTTTAAATATCCAAAAAGATCTTGGGGAACAATCTGCTTTATATATATACATTCATGTAGCAGATGCAGTAAGAGTTCTTGCAGAGTAGTGTGGGTTTTTTTAACCCTTTTCTTTTTAGAACAGCAAAGACATGGAAAAGACGTTGAGGTCCTGTTGCTCCTGTTGGAAACTTCTGTTGGCTGCAGCATGAGTTGGATTGGACCCAGAGAAACTGAATACACACAAGTAATGATGAGTTGGCCATACAAGCAAGGAAAATCACAGATAACAGGTGCACACCAATTAGCAATGTACCTTTTAGGTCATCCAATACAGCTCCGTGTCACAACGAGATTGTTTCATATGGTATATTTTTTTCTTTTTTTTTTTTTTTTTTTTTTTTTTTTTTTTTTTTTTTGTGCCTAGATTAAATGCCCTGGTGATACCATGTCTCTAGGGAGAGGTTGTGCTGCCTACAGTATCTTTTGTCAGGAGTTTTTTTACTTTCTTAACATTATCACATTTCTTCTTTTTACAACCCTTAGCAAATTTCCTTCTTTCCCTTCATTGATATCTTTTAACTACTGTGGTGATGTGTTTAGTTAACATTAAGCCAACCCATAGATATTTGGATCACTTAATCTTCCCTAACCTAGAAGTCCTTTCAGTTTTCTTGTTACTCCTCACCTATTCTAGTCACACTAGATAGCTTTTCAGTATCTTTTTTAGCTATGAGATTCTAAAAATGCGATACATTTCTATAAACTAGCAACAGATCTGATGTAGAGCTAAGCACCATTCATGTCTCCTCACTGAAAATCTTTCCTGATGTGCCCAGAGGAAAGCTGCCAGCACTCTGAACAGGCATACAGGTAGAGTGCTCAAACCACTTCCTTGGTGCCTCTTACTCTATTGGCCAACAAAATCCTATTGAAACAGTTGACCTAGTAGTTCAAAAAACAAATGCATGTCATTATGAATTTATTTTATTTCTCATAATGGAAAAAAGACAGATTAGTACAGATAAAAAGACCTTTGTTGCTGTTTTTGAGATTTTCTAGTTCTTGGTCATGGACGTCATATTCTAAAATTATGGAAGACGTCATCTTCCATAACTATGTCTGAGTGCTAGGAAAGTATGTTGTAGAAAGTAATTATATACATAGTTGCAAGCCTAGCTGTTCACTTCAAGCAATAAATTCTGATCTACAAACAACACTCCTTTAGAGCTAAATATGATCTTGGTTGTAATGGACTGTCTTTACCTTAGTGTTCTGTTGTATTGGAGGAATATAATTTTAATCTGCTGTCTTTAAATTTTCATTAAGGAACGTTTCAGCTACCTGCAGCCTCATCCGATGACGTTTAATGATATCAACTAGCTTGATCTTCCTCCATGCACCCATGCACCAGCAGGGACTTCTTTAAATTGCTCAACTGTATGGAACACTGTTTTCAAGTTTAATGTACTTGGCATCGACCTTTTAAAGTAATGGCATTTCTAAACACAGTTTAAATACAGTTTAAATACGTAGCACACACATATGTTTGCATTTATATGTGCATGTGTGTGTACGCCTATACATATATGTGTAAGTGCACACATATGTATAGAAATGCTGATCCTATTCACCTTTTTAAAATCATTACAGCTAGTATTAACATGAATGTGCTGTTAAATTGGCAGTGTTATACATTTTTGTTGGAGTTTACTTCTGTAACATAAAACCAGAAAGATAAGCTGTGAAACTCGTGCAGCTGATGACATAATTCTAGAATCTCATGATACTGAATCTCATATTGCTAGGAGTGTGGGATGGATGTTCTTTGCTGAAATAATTATACTGTCTCTTGCAATATATGTTTCCTTGTTTTCATGTGGGTGCTGAGAAGCCCAAACCATTAAACATAAATGGTACAATGAGTCTTGTGTTCCTTATTTATTCTAAAGAAGGTAATAAATTTATACGGTTTTATGGCATAATAAAGCCAACTACTTTAAGAATCTGTGATGAACATAGCAATAATCTGTGACAATATGCATATTTACTTTTAATAATTATGTCCAATTGTACATATATGCATAAATATGTATATATGTATATACAAACACACGTAGAGAGACATATGCATAAATTAAACAGAACCAATTAGAAGGTGGCATAAATAGATTCAAACCTTACCTGTTATGGCTGTGTGAAGGGATAATTTGAGCTACAAGGACATGAAAGAAAGCATACTCAATACACTCCATTGGCTCATTCTCATTATGCTCAACAGTGACAGGCTGTATGCTAAGATGGGGTACCAGCAGACGTTTGTAATGACAGCTGGTTCAAAACAGAGCTTTCAAAATAGTGCAACACCCCCAGCTTCCTTCCAAATCTTGGTGTTTGCCAGCATTTAACTGAGGCTGGCTCTTAAGGTCAGATGTTCAGATGTAAGTTATTCAGAAAGAATTTTCTTCTTTATGTTTGAACTGTACATATTTTCAACATATAGGCTCTTTGTTGCCCATGAATTTGCATTTAAACTCACACATGGATTATGCTTGTCCACTACCTGCAAAAATGATGGATGTTTCTCCCTGACACTGCACCCTATTTTTCTGAGTTGTCCTCTGTCGAGTTCTCTTGTGGGATACATAAACTGAGACTCAGATAGTAGCTCTTTCTTTTTACTGGGACTGAAAAACTCCTCAACCTCTCTGTTGAGAAATGGAGGAAAAGCGGCTTCCCTTTAACATCACCCACATCTCACCCACCATGATCGGCCAATTAAGGAACACAGCAAAAAAACCCCCAAACAACCAAACTTCAGATGTCGTGTAACTTTTCCTGGTGGATGTATATAGAATTTGGAAATAAATATACTCCTACTTTGGAGGAAAAAGCAAAAAGGGTTTATCTATTTGCATTTGAACTCAGTGAAAAATACCTAAGCATGGAAAGTGCACTTGAAGGTAAGACACGAACATGAGCAAAGCTAGATTTCACTAAGCTAAATTCAAGTGAAATGTGCCACATTTTTATAATTACTACAGAGAACATGCACTAATTAATTGTTATGCTGTGCTGGTGAAATAGTTAAGTATTCTATATGGAGCAAGTAGAGGAGGTTACTGATGCTATTGACTTTGCTTAGAAGCCAGTATGTGGGGAGCACACCATGAACAGCCTTGTGAAAATGAGGTTGGTGAACTGATTTGGTCTTAGAAATTACTTTTCAGAGTGGTTAGAAAAATATTTTAAATCTTAGATAACTTTTAGTTGTACTGGATTACTGGACTGCTAAGTGTGTGCATTGTGTTCAAAAGCAGGTTTTCATTTGCCTTGTCACTGGGGGACCCCAAGTGCTAAGCGTCAGATCTTCAGAGGAATTCAGACAAATAATAGTGCTGCTCTTTGGGGATCTTCAGAGCTGCCAGGACACTTCTCTGTAAATGAAATTAAAGGGACATGAGCATCAGGGGGTTTCAGAAAAGCACTGACTGGGTACCTATCAGTCTCTTGTGGAGCTGCACTCATTTCTGAAGTGTTGACTCTGCTTTAGTTGGAGATGCATCTGGGGATATGTTGAGGGGAACAGGATGGGTCTGTGCTCATTTCTGGAGGAGGTATAGGTCTCCTGCAAGCCAGAGGCCTGTGCAGGGCTGCTTCCCTGCAGCAGGCTTGCTTGGCTTACACACACCCGTCCCGTTAGCTCCATCATGGTATGTGTGAGCAGTGTTGGCCTTGCACTCAGTCTGGCGATGCTCCTGTTTGCCATCAGCCTTCTCTCCTGGATCAGGGCCGTTACCGATTGCTGAGGGGTGGCCAGGGGCAGCTCCCTCTGGTGAACCTCTTTTGTGCTTTTATCTCCCTCTGCTTGGCAATAAGCTGCCACTGGCTCACAGCCATGGCCCTCTCGCCCTCCCCAGTGCCCAGCTTGCATGCTCAGCCAGTGCCTACATCTCTTCCAGCAGCTGGCCCTACTTTTCCTCCACAGCTGGCTGCTGCCCCCTACTGTGGTAATTATTATTTATTATGGATATTCAGTGTACATTACATGTCCAGAGTCCAGTACAGTCTGAATCGCTACCAGGGTCCCACTGTGTGGGCAAGAAGCACAGTCTTACACACTTGTTCCACACTGATATTCTCTCTACTCTCATGCAGAGAGAGACTGAGAGGAAAGGGGTGAAGGTAGTTGTTGGCACCCATTAGCACTATCTGATGTGACACCTACTCTCTCTCCTGTGTTACATGACTCCAGCAACAGCACAGCTTAGGGCAGAGCTGCTTTTTCTCCATCTTGCTACCAATAGCAGGTCTCCTGCTATTCCTGCTACCTAGCAGGCAACACCTGAAGTGTTTTCCAAAAGTCATGGCTGCTGATCAATCACACTTTAACTCCCCATTGCTGTGAATGCAGATGTTGCTTGGTTTTCAGTTGCTGTCAAGAAGTAATTCCCTTAGACCACAGCGCGGCTATGTGGGACACCATTTTCTTTCCTGTTTCTCTCCCCCACCTTCTTCTCTGGGGTTCTCTGTTCATGCCAGTTCCTTTGCGAATGCATTCTTCTCCTTGCATTTCAGCCTTCCTCCTCACCCTGCCTCCCTGAAGACACCACCCTCAGTTAAAAACAGAGGAGCTATAACTCCCACAACTCAGTGCACAGACAAAAGCACCTGGAGGGAGAAGCAGCTTCTCTACACTCGAAAAAATACAGAATCCTAAACATATTTCACACATACATGCACATGTGTGAGAGGCAAGTTCTCAGCTGTGCTGGATAGGGTTAGGTCTGCGCAAGAAGATAGAGCAATACTACTCCATGGTAGCTGAGAATCTGTCCCGGTATGTAAATGTAAACATCTATTTTTACGAGCCCTCCTACAGTTTGCTTAAAAAAATATTGGTTTTTAGACTCTGAAAACACACAAGCCAGTCAGAAATGTCCCACTTTCTATATTTTGTCTAATTCCTACCTCTGACTTCCTCTGAAAGCTTTCAAAATCTAATGAATTCAAGAGACAAAGTGAACTAAAACTGAAGCAGCTTTGCCTTCAGTGCACTGGGCCTACAGGAACTGAAATGTTTGATTGTAACTGGACTCACCAAACCCTGCAAAATTCCCACTGTCCTAGTACTTGTAATCTTCTGCCCTTTCAGCTAGCTGCAGCAAGTTAATGTCAAGAGCAAATACATGATGCAGTCTCTACATCAGAGCACTTTTTGCCATGAATCACTTTTTAAATTGTTTTGAGTTTATATTTAATTGCTTCCTTTGCATGCTATGTGTACACATGCACTCCTCCCGCCCCTCATGTTTCACATGTAACTGTTGTGTAGGCTGGAGTCTTTGAATATGGAGTATTCAGAGCGCAAGGAGTTTCAATCCAGGAACTGGCTTGTCCTCTTTTAAGATGGGAACCACATGTGTGACTTGAATCCAGATCTGGGGTGAATTCTGGATGTGCTAATTTGAATGAATTAGGATTGGGGATTCAGACTCATTTCTTTGTTACAGTACTAGTTCTGATACCCACTACTGGGTGTTCACCTTTCCCTTCCTCAACAGAAAGAGAAACGCTTCCCATATTCAGTTATTCAAGACTGATTTGCAGTTCATTCCAGGATCAAATCACCTTCAAGGTATTTTTCTCAGTTTTATTTCTGAACATTCTCTGTGACAATTGCTTATAAGTGACCTCTGCTAACAGTTTTGAATATTTGGATCACTTGGTCACCTTCCTCTGAGAAGTCCCTGTCATTCCACTTTCCCTCTGAAGGCTGCCCCACTGGTTTTTTAAAGTAATACAGTCCCACACAGAGACACTCTTCCCCTTGTAACAGCCTTAGTTTGGGAGACTGAAACAACAAACTGTCTCTTGAGCTGCTGTTCAGAACCAGTTTCTTGGGCTCCCTAAAACTGTGGCAACTTCAAAGCTCTGCTATTCTCAGGATTTTCCTCATCTCCTTTTGAAGACAGGCAACATTCAATTGGGCTTCCCAGCCTTCTTGTGCTGCTGCATTTTTCAAGGGAAGAAGGCATCCCCTTGTCAGTATCTCGGCTTTTTCTCACTTTATTTCCCCTCAGAACTCCCAGATGAACACCATCCGGTTGTGGTGATTTACTGCACTTGAGTTTCTCAAGTTACTCTACAACTTCCTCCATAGAGACTTCATTCTATATAAAGGCCACACTCTGATTTTCTTTGCAAAGTGTCTTTGGCACAGGAATTTCTGCATGACTCTCAACAGCAGACATGATGCAAGAGATTCATTTAACTCCTCTGCTAGCTTGTTGCACTCTTCTCCTGACCCACTGTATATGGATTTGTGGGGATCTCTGCAGTGTTTTGATGCATAGTCCAGCCTAAGATTAATATGTGAGGCTTGTCTCTCAACTAGTTTTCTCTTGCTGCTCTACTGAAGGATATTTCTGTACGTTACTACAATCACTCTCAACACATCTTATTTGGCTGGCTAATTAAGCCCAGTACCATTCGTCTGCACTACATCTGTTGCAGGTGGGTTAAATTCTCACTGATGAAAACTGGCACTGTCCCTAGGGAGATGTTCAGGTGAGGAGCTGGTCCTGCAGAAGACCCTCCCCTAGTACTATGGCAATCGACCCCCTGGCATGTCACACTGAAGGGGCAGGCTGAGTGCTCAGCAGCACAACTCAGGAGGAGCAGGACCCATATCCTAGGCCATGGCCTGGCCCTCAGACAAGTGAAAAGCCCTTTGGTCTTTTGTCTTTGATAAAAGGAAGTCGGAGGTCCGTGGCAACCCTTTCTCTTTTCTGCTTTTCCTTTTGTGTATCTTTATTTCTGTTTCTTCCCACTCCCTTTCTGTTTTGAGAAAGACAGAAACTGCCATATGGCAAATCCAGTCTTTAATGACTTTGATGGACAGAACTAGAACATCAGAAATACTCTTCATGCCCTGTTTTATTCTCTGACCAGTGTAAACTGGCCTTCAGATGTTTCAAAAGAAGGTCAGTTTTATGAAAGCACATGTTAACAAACACTACTTATTTCACAAAAAACTTATTTCAAGAAATTTTGATGGCCATTACTTTGTCTGTTTATAAAACTAAACCCCAAATATTAGCTTAATTTGCATTGCAGTACTAAAGATATATAGATCTGATTTGAGACACAGAAGAACATCCCTTCTATATGGTATGGATATGAGATCAATGTTAACTATAATTGCCTAAGGCACAGACACAGAAATTATAGCTGAAACCAGTTCCATGACTTCATCCATCAATGAGAAAAGTATTCAAGCTGTTGTTAAGGCTGTCCTATCTTTCAGAAAGGGTGCTGGGTATCCATATTTCACTAACTTTTTTATTTCAAATGAAGAATTAAAATCTGATACCAAACATCTTTATTTCTTATGGGCTTTTGTGAATAGATGAAAGACCCTGAGCTTCCTAACCTTCCTAAGGTGATGCAAAATATGTCTCAAGATTCATAATTCCAGAGCTGCCAGTTGAATTCCAGCCTGTGAAATCTATGTCAAGATACAAACAGGCATGCTCATCCCTATTACATCTGGTTAAATAAATGAAAAAAAACCCTTGTAAATTAATTGGACCCTTAGTTTCCTAGAGTTTGGGAATTTGCAGAGCAGGATTAATTACAGTGTGCTGTAGTTGTCTTAGAATTGGCAGTCTTGTCTCAGGTAACTCTTTTCTTTCCCTGTCTGCTGTGGATGGCACCTGCAGATCTCACTTTGTTAACTATTTCATATGGCCATTTTTGGATGATATCTCAGATGGCTATAGGAAAATAAGTTTCTGTTACTGGTGGAGTTTCTTCACTACAGAAGGAGCATGGGCAATTGCATTAGACCAAGCCACTAAGGTGATATTATCTCATTGTTAATGTCTTGGTTCATTAACATTTTTGATTTAAGGTAAGTCATTCAGATTTGATATATATTTTTCTTTTACTGTAGTCCACAATAACGACAATGCCTCCCAGACATCCCATTTCTAGTCTGGTTTTACTGAAATGATTTCCAGATTTTCTTCTTTATGTGGTGTAAATAGAAATGCTTCTTCCTTGGTCGTCTCATTTTCATAACCTACAGGTATTCTTATTTTATCTTGCAATATTTTGACTGAATGTAGTGATATTCTAAGATCCCACTTAACAGTGCATGAGCAAAATCTTAGCAAATGGCCTTGTAGTGCAGTACAAAGTTGAAACGGAATAAACTGTAGGAGGCAACTTTACCGTGTGTAACATCTGTTCTACTTCACCAGTCAATGATCTGATCACACTCACCACTGCATCACTCCAACTTCTCACTACACTTTACTCAGGAACGTGCAACACCTTCCTCTCCTCTTCATGCGATTTTTGCCAGGACTTTACAAAGTCTTTCCTATCCACAGGACAAGGCAGATAGTGCCTGGAAGTGCCACCTCCTGTGTCAGTCAGGCTTTTAGTCTACCTTCTCTACAATACCTCCATGCCCCCATATGGCTTACTGCAGGGAACTATAAGAAAGATAGACATAACATTTTTTTGAGAGTGACTCCTTTACATTGCCTTCCTTGCACGTATCTACATAGTCCCATGCAGTAATCTGTATTTTTGTTTGGGATGTATAGGAAGTATCCATAGAGAAATAACAAATAACTACTCTCATCATCTTTGTTGATATCAAAGAACATTGGGTAGGTGAACCAGGAAACAAATCCTATTGTAAAGTGTAAATCGAGTAAAAACTATGTTGAAACATCCCACAGTTGAGAGCATTTGCAAGGATGACTCACTTCACAGTACTCAATATATTGCTCACTTCTCTCAGTAGGAGCTACTTTTTGAGAGAATACTACCAAATGGAGGAAACCTTCTGTGCCATAGGTATGATGATCCAAAACGAGTGATTAGTAAACATCTTTCAGTTGGTGAAAAAAGAAATGAGCAAGAAATGAACCTTAAATACAAAAAAAAGTTGGGTGGTTAGCATCCATTCTATTCATGGGCAATTAATAGTTTTCTTGTCTCTGCAGAATTTTCATTAACACTGAAAAATTTTGCCAAACCTAAGATGATGTCAAGACCTTGGCAGAAATCTGTTACATTTGAGTCTAGTCAACAATTTCTCATTTGGTCACAAAAAAGTTTTTAATTTATTTATTACTTCTGGAGACTTTAAGATTTTAGGAAAGTTCTGACACAGATTTGGATGTGGAAATGAGATCTTAATGGCAGATGCAGATAACTCTGTGAAGCACCCTCAGCTTACGATGGTCTGTTCTAGGAGGAACTTTTATTCATCTTCAGATAGGAATGTTATGGTTTAGGGACATTTATAAAATCTGTGAGTCTTGCAATGGCTGTGAACACTAGTGTACTTGGGGAACCTGTGACACTCTGTGTGATCTCAAAGTAACATCTTGGAAAAGCAGGTTTTGTTCTTCTTTTTCTCCCTATAGATCCTTAAAAATATGCAAATTTATGTGATCTGCTCCTCATACTAAGAGTTGCAAATTCAGCTATGGATCAAAGATTAGAGCATATGCCTATTATTGCGACTGTCAGTTAACCAATCCAAATGTTTAACTCTTTAAAGAAATAGAGGGTCAGCAGCTTTCTGAATAATTGTTTCCAGATAGTCTTCTGTTACTTGGATTTCTATATCACATTCAACTTCAATTGCTGTTGTAATATATCTCCATTCCACAGACTCTAACTTTACTAAATACACATTAATATTTGAGCCACTTATGCTTAGACAAATCCAGAGCATGCTCCATGATTGTTGACTGTTTTTTATGGTGCCTCACAGATTAAATGAGAAAAACCAGTGCCATCCCAACACCTGCCTCTGGTCTTCTGTCATGCCAGGAACTGCAGAGAGGAAGAAACTGGGTCAAAAATGACTCAAAAATAAAACAAGTCAGGATGTGTATAACCTTTTTGAAAGCTTATCTTCACTTCAGTATCAACAGTCAGAATGGGAAGTGTTTTGTTGACAGCCACAGTTGCCAGTGTAGTGCCATGTTGTGAGAGAACACTTCTTCACTGGGTCACACTTCCTTGTCTTTCAGTCTTGTCTTCATGAAGAAAAACACTTCAGAGATTCTCTGACCAGGTTCTTTGTCCCACTCTGGTGGACACCACGTCACCCTCAAGCCTCACAGAAATGGGACCTTGTGTTGGGGTCAGCATAATGATCCACATATTCAGTGCTTCCTGCCAGTCACCGATTGTCGTCTGCTGCAACACCTCATGCTGTGTCAGTCTTGTTCACCAGCTTCCTTCTGTCTCAGTGCAGCTGCAAACCAACCAGTCGTTTCCTAAAATGATGCCAAAAATGGTGTAGGGGTTTTACTTCTAGCCGATGGTAAACTGAAAAATAAAACACATTGCAACTGTTCATATTCCAATTTTGGTTTGAATTATTCAGCGTCAGCAGGCTCTACTTCATCAAGTAACCAAGTCTCAAGGTAAATATTTTTCTCAACTGACACCTGATTTTAAGAAGGAGAGCAAATGTGTGAGGTTGAAGTAAAAAGGGCTGAGAAGACGAAAGGGTTAAGGACACTTTTTCTAGACCCTTAACATCTCCTCAGAAGGAATGATAAACACCTCTCTTTGGCCAGGTCCACTTTCCTACACCTTTTTGAGGAGAACTAACGGAGAGTGCTATTTATTATGTGTTGGGATGAAGTTGGGGAATGTTTTCCACCATTTAAAAAAAATAAAATCCAGAATTTATGGGAGTTTGAAAAGCAATTTCCTTTTAAGGTGCAAATTCCTAATTTGCCACATAAAAGTACAGGAATTAAGTGCTAAATCCTTCTTTGCCAGTGAGACCTGTGAAAGGAGGTATGAAAAAGAGTTACTGTTAGGTTTCTATTCATGTCTCCTGAAAGCCAATGTATGCAAAAGTGCGCTGAAACAGCCCTTATTTTTTTTCAAAGCCTTCCTGCCTTTTCTGACTGACTTTTAAAAAATGAACCCTTGTCCGGTTTTATTTGTGCGGTGGGTTCTGATTTTGTTCTGCCTGTACCATATCACTTTTCTCTCCTCACCATTAATCTTCCATGAGTGTTCCCTGGGGCACCATTCTCCCTTTTCTGCATGGGAAGTTTCTATTGAAATTAATGGACTTTCTTCTCGTGAGTGGAAGGAAGAATACACCCTTATATCGGCCCTGTTGCAAAAGAATATTATTCATTGAAAAGAAGCGTTAGTCTCACTCCTGAAAGCCCAAGGTCTAGTCAGGCAGATTATAGTGGGAGATCCCAACAGGAGGTCTGGTACAGAAGCAAGAACTACTTGTCTAACATGAAAACAGAAGCCAGAACAGAAGACCTTTTAAATGTTGGAACAAAACCCTATGGAAAGTCAGTGGTTGTACTATGAACCACTGATGAGGTGTACTGTCCCAGAACTAATTCTAGGGCAGATCCATCTGGTGGAATATGGATGGTGCTGTGGAGATACCCATAAGCAACCTGTAGAACCAGGCATGGTCACAAGAACAGCACAGCATCAAAGACTGATTTGATCTGCAAAGAGGTACTGCAGATTGGCCAGAGGCGGCCATGCAAGTTTCCTGGGCCATGCAAATTAAGGGTATATTGTGCTGTGCATACGTATCACCTCATCTGGAACTTGGGCTTGGGAGCTTGGGCATCTTTAACATGATTGTGCATTGCACAATGCAGATATGCTGATAAGCATGTCTACATGTGCTTAGAGGCTTAAATGAAAAAGTCTTATGTTCCTTTACTGCACTAAAGAGGGTGTTGACAACCTTCAATCAAAATTGCATAAATTCTCATAGGAAGAATAGTAGCTGCAATGTGAGGTCTTGAGGCAGGAAGATGACCTTATAAAAATACTACAGTATCTAAGTTTAGTAAAACAAACACTATATTTAAGTAGGCTGTGGAAATGTAAATATGCTTCAGGACTGGCCCCAAGCAGTTTATGTTACAGTAATGTTACTATCATGTTTTGGATAGATCATTACTGTAGATACTGTAATCTAAGACTAGGAGATAGAATTTAATATGCTTGGGAGAAAATTAAATAGAGGATAAAAAGCTCTCTTTCCTCAACAGTATTTTCAAGGATGAAGCTCCACCTTGTAATCCAAAGAAAAAACCAAGCTTGCCTGACGAGGCGTTACATGAATGTACTAGGCCACTGCAACGTTTTTAATCCTCTGGGATATTTCACAAGGGAGTCCTACTAGTCCTTCCATAGCTTCCCATGATTCCTTGTTCCATACAGTGCTAGAAAGCATAGTAAAGATTTGACAACCACAGTGATGGACAAATAAGGATTTCTTGTGTGTTTACAGTTTGTGAAACCTTGATTGTTGTATAATTAACATGCCAGTTACCCTTGGATTTTCAGTTTCAGCACCCGATGTGTTTTTGATGTTTACATTTGATTTGAGCATCTCTGGAAAAGCTCTGCTATTCATTTGTGTGTATTTGTATTTTGGTTGAAGATTATATACATATCTATCAAGATGATTACTTTAAACATTGCTCTATCTGCTCCTTCCACCAAACCTGGAATGCTTGCTTTAAGATTAGCCTTGTCAAATTTACTTAAAGTGACCAGGCAAATACATACAACTAATTTTGTTATAGGCAAAATTAACTAATGCTCTTTTTCATGGTGAGTGCTGTAATGATTTTATATAGCAGTGAAACTATTTAAATACTAATGCTGTCTTCATGCTGTAATCACCATTCCAGTCAGATGTCATTTTTAGTAGCCTATAGGGAATTCCATCCCTTAATTATTCTTCAATACACAAACCAAGCATTCTTTAATTGGTGTAAATTGAACAGTGTTCCAACGCAAACAAGGAGAGGACAAACTAATCAATGATTCTGTGCATGTCTATTGGAAAGCTATTGCCATTAGATCAAGTAACGAATCCTTGACTTCATTAGCTTCAGAGGAACGATGGGGGAAAAATACCGCTAATGCTACTTCTTGTTATCAATCAGTAGCGAAAAGTGTGCAGCAAAACCTACAACAGAACTCCAGCTTTTCTTGAAAGTGCTCATAGAAATTTAAAATATGAAGATATTCTGACTTCACAGTCCCGAGTCATACGTTTTTCATGGGGCTACGTCTGGAAACAATGTGTTTTTATCGTTTGCTGCCTCTAGTCATGTGGCCTGTTTTTTATTTTACTTTTTCAAATAAATGATTCTTGAATGATAACATAACTTTTTTCAACTTGTCAGGAAATTTTGGGTGAATTTTCTGGCTCTCTCAGACTGCGCTCCGTACATTCATATGTATTCACTACTGCAGCACAACATAAATTGGTTGGCTCTCCTGTCTTTTTTTTTTTAATTCAATCTGAAATAAAGGTGCTGTATTTAAGAAACAGATGAAAAATCCGTCTCATAAATGTGTCATACTCACTTTTCATTCTTGTCTCTTTTTATCAATTCTCTAAAACTGATTATTTATCACTGGAGAGGGAAGAAAAAAAAAAGTAAAAGGCCCATTACAAACCCCTGGCCCAGATCTGCCAGTCTTACAGTTTTAGTTAGTGTGCAAAGTGAAACTCCTCTGGAAAAAAATATACTGGCTATGGTTGCTCACTTTTTAATCTATTTGTTTTTGATATAATATGCTATTTACTGTTTAAGGACCTTTCATGTTGGTTTAAATCGAAGTCTTTAAAACAAGTCTAGCATAAAAAGCTCTAAGTGACATAGACTGGGTAGAGAAATACAGAATCTTCTACAGACAGCCTTTGTTCCCCACGTTACAGTAGAAAGAAGTGTAGAGCAGGCTCGGTAGATAACCTGCCTTCTTAAAACAAGAGGGCCTCTAATTTTCACACATCCTAATCATAGTCACATTACTTCACTCTCTGTACCAGACCCCTCAGGGCTGGCTCCAGGTTTTGCTGTGAAGTCACATGTGTGGGGCCTGAGGCATTTTTCCACTTTACTTGTTTCTTTTTTAATCCTTTTGCCAGTTGGGATTCTCTAACTGGCTCTGTTGTCATGGGTGGCTGACTAGGGTGGTAAGGAAGGAGCAGCGCTAAGGTAATCGCTCTCAAGGTTTCATACTTGTTTCTTATGAGGATAAAGATGCTGCAATATGTGTTTTCTGAGGAAAAGGAAGCTGCTCCCCTCACCTCCTTTCCCAGATCAGTGTGTGTTATTTCTAAGTAATGAATTCCCCTCTGTTTCCCCACTCTTGTTTGCTGGTTGGCTTATGTGTGGTTACACTATTCCTCAGAAAAGTAAAGTGTCCCGTCTGACTTAAGGCATCTGTCTTCTCTCTGATACTCTTCAGTGGTAGCTGTAAAGTGATGCTGACACCAGCAAGTGATTATGACACTTAAAGTGGGGATTTTGGAGCACTGAAGAGGATTTTCAAGAGTCATAAGCTACCCCTTTGCTCCTCACTCTGCTGAGACCACGTTCTGAAAGGTAGTGGGTCCTTTGGAGTCTGCGTCTGCTTCGTTGTTTTGGAGATTTGCCCCCTGAAACAAAGGGATGCCTAGTGTCTGACACCCAAGATGATGGGAGGCACTCAAAGACAGATTGCTGGGCTGCTGCGAGGTGAAGAGGGGGTACGTGCTTTGAGATGACACCAGATAGTCTGTGGAGTCTGACTTCTACCTTGTTATACAAAAAAGAGATGTTAGCATACTATGACAAAGAAAAAACTTTATCAAAGCAGAATGTTACTTTTTTATAAAAGTTTATCAAATCAAACTTTCTTTTTGATAAAGCTTGTGAAATACACTAATTTAAAAAAGACAGTTGTACCACAGTTTACATATACATGAACAAGCCTTACTGGAGTTGACATAAGAAAAGAATGAAGCCAGCTTCAAAACTACACTTAGGATTCAGATGACACCACTGGCAGGATTTCGTGTAACAAGTTTACCTAAGTTGGAACCTGGGTTTGCAGTTGTATGCCAAATGTGGTTTAGGCCATAAGAAAAGGCTAAGATCTGTCATCTGATATTCATGAAAAACAAAGCAAGACATTTTTATTTTGATTTGTTTTTCAAAAAAAGTCAACCCCAGATTGTTGGGAAAGCTTCAGTAGAATAATTTCTTAATCACCTTTGTGTTCTTAGGCATATCTGGCCTTCAAAGTCCATATTAAAACTCCCTACTGATTTCCTTGGGATTATGCCCTTCAGAATGCATGACAGGAGGAACAAATACTCGTCAGGCCTAAGCCATTGCCTGGCAATCCCAGGGGAAATGCCCCTCTGATCCCCACAAGGCAATCCTCAATCACCATTTTACAGGATAAGGAAAATCCCTCCATTCCCAAGGATGACAGAAGGAGAGAGAGAGAGAGACTGTGTGAGGTAGGATGTGCTGCTCCCTGTTTGAGACAAAGAGAGAATGCTAGCACACGAGTAGCCAAGGGAAGGGATACCAGGAGAAGGCTTTTGTAAAGCAGCCACGATATTTAGTGTGGTCACTTCAATGTAAAGAGATAAAATAACTTAAAATGTACTAATTTTAGTGTGGCAATGTTTCAAAATTCCTTCTACCTTATTTCATACTTTAACACTTATGCAGGTGACTCCAGAGATCATTCTGATTTGAAAGACTTATGTTTTAAACAACATGAGGCATTTGTTACTTTTTTTAAATATAAGGGTAATTTATTTTTTATGTTATTTATTTTTTTCATCAAATGTACAGATACTACCTGGAAAAAATAATCTTTTTGACTCAAGCTTGCATTATACCACTTATGTTCTATATATCTTTGCCAGGTTGCTATTATATCAAATTGATATTAACATTAGGACAGATTCTGAGATTGCTTTGCTTCGTATTTCTTTGCTTAGTCACAGTCATCGTGATTCTGATTCTAAAAGCTGTTGAATATACTCCAGCTTTAATGATCAAGTTCTGGCATATTGGTTTCCTTTATTTTATAGTCTTTAATGCCAGCTTATCCATCACTGAAATATTTTTTTTTTTTTAATGAGCTCAACTTTGGTCATTCAGACCATTCTATTTGTCCAGGTTCAGCAGAGAAACCTCATTGCAATTGCTGTCATTCATTATGGCAGCTGTGCTGAGTATTCATAGGACACTTCTTTCCCTAATATTAATTTAAAAGTTTATTTGTATGACCACAAAAGCAGGAGTTCTCTCAGCTTCTTAAAATCAATTAAAAATACTAGTGTAATATCTGCTAAGGAATTGCTTTCAACTAAAAACAATATTCACGTTATTTTGGAAAGTAGTTTGTGCAGTCTATTCTCAGAAGTCTTCAGTGAGGGGGACTCCAGACTCTCCATAGACAATCCCTTCCACAGCTTCAATGTCTTCACTGTGAGAAAATTTTTACCAACATTTGACCCGACTCTCCTTTGTTTCAATGTAGGACTGTAACCTTCTGTCATTTGGCTGTAGTCCTTGAAATACAAACTCTTCCCTGCCTCTTTGCAGAAGGCTTTTAACATTTGAAGGTTTTTGTTTTTATGTCCACTCATTTTCTTCTCCAGATGAAATCACCCCAGTTCAGATTTTCTTGCAGGTGATATTTCCCAAACTTCTGATCATTCCCATTCCTCTCCTTTGGACAGTTTTAAAGGCAGCTGTATCTTTTTTGAAAAGCGATGCTTTAAAGGAGGTCCATGCCAGTGTACAGCTGAACAGCATGAGCACTGCCTTATCTTACAAGAAAGCTTCTGTCTGCACAGCTCCCAACTGCTCAGCCCTCTCATATCCAGTTTTATTTCTGATTTTATTTCCCACAGCTCTGGGGAGAAAGAGAGAGATTCTCCCTCACTCAAAATCAAGCTTCATCAGCCCTGTGTTGCCTGCTCCTACCTAGTGAAACCTTCAAAGTTCTTCAGATGCTGCTTAAGATGGAAAGAAGGTCCTGCATGTAATCCTTCAGAGGAGATTGGAAACCAAGCTTTTTCGGTGTAGGTGAGACACATACTTTTTACCCCATGCAGTCCTCCTGCATACAATGTTTAGTTTTATCCTTTTATTCTGGATTTTTTTTCCTCACATAATTATTTACATTATTAATTTAAGTGAATATGATGTAAAAGTACCATTTTACACCAAAAAAACCCAGAAAAAAAAAACCTTGAGTTTTTTTTTTAAAAGTTATTTTTTCCAAAGTGGTTTGCATAGTTAAGTATAAAAAACCTGTCTTTCATCTTTGGGTCATTAAAAATTTTGTAAAAAACCCTCACCCAGTTCTTGAGTGGTTGCTTTCCTTCTTGACCTGAAACAATTAAGCAAATAAATTTTTAGTAAATTCTAATGTTATTCTCTCACCTATGTAAATTTATTCAGATTTTGCATCAGGATCTCTGATTGGATTTGTTTACATCTGCATATTTTGATTATTTTCTAAAAAACTGCATGATTTTAATTTCAGAAAATTTAGAGGCTTCACTCCCTTAAAGTCAACAGAAAAGTCCCTTGAGCTTCTCTTGGTAAGGGCTGAGCCTTTAATCTGTGTTTGTTTAATAATAAAAACCCTGAGATAGACTGGTTGATAGGTTTCTTTCAGCCACACTTGTAGCAATATTAAGCACTGTTTTTTTTCTGATATACCGTGGTTTCTCAGACTGCTTAAGCAAGTATTAATGACTTCGCTATGATGATCTGCTCCTGACCCTCTGGCTTGTCTTTCTGTTCCTATTTCATGAAGGTAGATGTACATATATTTTAAATTAGTGGCTCATCATTACTCTGTTGTTTTCTTACTCCATTAAATTCCATCCCACATGATCATTTCTGAACAAACGTTTGCTGTCAATATTTGCTGAAAAAGTCCAAATCAACCTAGTAAATAAAGCATTAGAAAACATAATTTTGTTTCTTCACTCAGCTAAATCCATTTAAGACTTTAACACAAGTAGAAACTAAAGACAAAGGGAATTTCTTAAAACATGAAGGCCTGTAGCACATTTGCATTCTGAAATTAATTGCTGACCTAATTATTTGTCAGTAGTAGGATAAGTTAATCAAATATAACTTACAGTAAAGCTTCTAAACACTCACAGGATTTTCTCCCCCAGAGTAAATTGTCATAGTGGTCCAGTTTGACAATCCATTCTCACTGTCATCTTGTGACCAAAGGAAGACTATCTGTGAAATGGTACCATATGGAGACACAAGAGAGAATGAAACACTTAGATCTCCTGTACAAAGGCATGATAAGTTAACAGTCACCAGAGGAAGTCAGGAACGATGAAGCTTTGAAAAAAGAAATACCCTGCCTTTCAAATCCATTTAGATTTATTTTTATACTCTTTCCAATTTGACTAAAATACTCAGATATTAAATATGCATATAAAATAGAAATCAAACATATTGTGTGATGTTTCATTTCTAGTGTATCTGTGGATCTGCACTTCCTGCTTAGCATTAGTTTGATGGAAAGGCTGGTATTTATAGGAAAGACCAGGACCTTTCCCTCTTACGGAAACTGACTGTGTTTTCCCCAAATAATATGTACCAACCAACCACATAATGACCTGAGGCTAAGGATGCAGATTTTTTTTTCAAAACGCACTTGGAAACAAAATCTGATGAAAAGATTAGGTAATGTGACCAATACATTATTTTCAAAAGGCATACCTAGTCATTTGAGTTAGAAATACCTCATCAGTAATAATGTGAACTACTTCACCGCTTCTGTTATTACAGTACTGCCTCTCTCCTGTCATCTGCTGGCAATGGCAACCCACAGTAAAGGATGTTTTTCTGATCATTTTGCACTCATTAAATACAGCTGTCACAATAGCGGATGCGAGAATGCATACAAAACTTTTATGCCACGTCAAAATAAAGCAGAAACATTTTAAAAAGATCTGAAACCTTTGAAGCCTTTTCTTGCGAAATATTGAAATATTGCTTTTTGTTGTTGTTGTTTGCGACAATTGAAAATGTTCCACAGTGACACACATTAAAACTTACTGCAGAACAAAACACCATCCATCAAAATTAAAGAAAAAGGGAAAAAAATTGGGAAAAAATAAAACTAAACCAAATCTCTCTGAAGCACTAAGTGTTCAGTTTCTGAGAGTCTGAAGTTCTGGTTCATCACCTGATTTCTGGGGCTGAATGTGCACTGAGTTTCAAAATCTCGAGGGAGGTGACATTTATTTCTGGACTATGGATGAAATCTGCCCCATAAAGCTTCCAGATGAGTGAAAACATCTTCCTCAAGTTCCCTGTTCTGAGAACCATCTCCCTTTCAGGCTAAGAAGCAGTAAATTCTATAGTTGTTTGACATTATTACTGTAAAAAAACATTTAAAAGGGCAGGGTGAATGACCCCAAAGCCATTCTGTGACTGGTGGGAACAGAGAATCCCTTATGAGTAGCATTAGTCAATATTCTTATTTGCATGCAAGTGTGTTGTGAAATACTGTAGCAGGTGACCTGTTGAAGACTTCGGTCACTCTGACCTGGAGGAAAGCAGTAATTTGCACCTATCTTCCACCTCCCCATTTCAGAATTGCATGATCATAAAAGAAAAAAAAAATGGTTAACTTTGAAGCACCTCCTTGAGTTGATGACTATGGAGAAGCAGAGCCCTCGAGCAAAGATACAGATTTTCAAAGATACAGAATTTTCAAATAACACCCACCTTGTGGGTAAAATAGCTACTCACAAGAACAAACCCAAGATATTCTGGATACCTGATCCTAAACTTTAATCAAGAGACTTCTTCAAAGATTGGACAACATAGGTATAAATAAATGACTTCTATTATTTAAAAGAAAATGTCATTGGCTCCATTTCTTGGTTGTAAGTCCTACCTTCTGCCTCTCCTGAAGATATGGGCAGGGGCCAATTTTATGATTTGCATGTTATGGACTTTCCATTCCCTTTTAATTTTAAATGTGCAACTTTTCATGTACAAAAAATGATAGGAAAAAATGTGCAAGTGCACGTGCATGTATACCTGTGTGTATGTCTAAACACACCTTTAACATATACCTGAAAAATGCTTCACGTTTACAATCCTATCAGCAGTAGGATCCATGGAAAGGAGGCTCTTGAAAGCCGTGGCTGGGCTGGAGCAGACCCAACCTGTCTCATTCCCCCTGCAAAGTGCAAGCACGTGATGGCCAATGGGAGACAACTTCTAGCATCCATGTGCTTGGCATCCATGCAGTGCAAGCTGCTTTCATTATGGGAAGTGAAGTGTGTCTCCATGAGATATGGTGACACAATCATTGTGTGGAGATACACTCAGCGCTCTCTCTCTCTCTCTCTCTCTCTCTCTCTCTCTCTCTCCCTCTCACCCTTCCCTGTCTCTCTGACTTGCTTCTTCCTGATGCACCTCATTCCTGCTTCCTTTACTTCTCTTTCTGGATACCTGTGTGTTGTCCTTTACCTTTGCTGAGGATGTCTTTTCTGAGATGAAATAAAGAAAAATTTTGTCCCCGGCTTTGGGAAAAAGAGAAAGACAGCACAAATCTTACTCCAAGAACAAATTCACCTAAAGAAGCAGTTTTTGTTAATGGGCATAGTGAAGGCATGACAAGAATTTGTGGGTGAGAATATTAACACTGGGAAGAGCATTGCTGAGCTCTTGTTTGCCACTCCTGCCTGCCATCAACATTCCTTGCTCATCCAGTCCCAAGCTCAGTTCATCTGAGGTCCCAGCTAGTGTCTACTTCCTGGATTGCAGAACACTTTTGCAGACAACACCAGACTCCATAAATCTGAATCTCAGGGAACTAATCTTAGCTATGGCTGTAGGGTCAAACCACTTTAGGAGTTCAGTGAATGGCGATAAATCACAGTACTGTGACTAGTGGGGGGAAATACAGCCAGAAGAAGTCTCGACACGTAGGTTTGGATGAGTATGAACAGAAAGTAAAGTAAAGATGAACAATTTTGCATGCTCTACAGAGAAGAAAGGAGTGGGAGAGAATTCAGTTAAAGGGCACAAGTAGTGAAAGTGAAAACTATGAGAAAAAGAGGGAATAACACAATGGAGGGAAGGACAGTGCATGAGGTGGGAAAAGCTTTATGGGGAAAGTTGAGACAAAGGGGAGATAAAAAACACTTGAAACATCCACAAGCAACATATTGCGTGCAGCCACACCTTTTCACCAGCCCGCAGAGTTTGCCTCCTCTCTCAGCATCAGAACCCTCCTGCTGGCCTTGGGCCAGCCAAGACACCCCACTGATGCCCTAAGGACCTGCTGGGACCTGTGTTCCTCACTACTGCAATCCCATACCAGGTCAATACACTCGAGTGCTTGGCCAGCTTCTCTCTTAGGGCTTTCGAAAGTAATTTTCAGACTGGACTGTAATCTTGAAATCTGCCCCACAGGGCATGGTATCATCCCAGCTCTATTTTAAAGGTCAAGTCTGGCAGGTTTTGCCTGGTTTTGACTCAGACATTCCAGTAATTTCAAAAAGCCAGTGACCTAGATAAGGGAGGGCAGAACTGGGGCCATAGTCAAATTTCCAGTATAAAAAGTGTCTTCATTTTCAGATGGCTTCACTATACTTGACACAAGGTTTCACTGTTCTATTTCTCTTACTGAAATACATGGAAGGATCTGTACATCAAATGTATAAAAGATTTGACTTTTAATTTCTACCATGTATTTTGGTAAGAGGAATTAAATGTCAAAACACAAAAGCAATTATACACTTAATGGTAAAAAACATATAATCAAGTCATTTTTTTTATTTTCAAATGGCAGAGATCAAAATAAAAGGGCAAGAGGGTCTTACTTTGACATTATATGAGATAGAAAGGCACATTTGTATCATTTTGTACCTTTTACAAAATGAATATGCCTGTAATCATACCCATTCATATTGAAAAAGAGATTGTGCTTTAGATATATAACATATTTGTGAGGGTGTTGAGGAAGTGTCTAAGTAAAATGTGCCATAGGAAATCAACTCTGGGGAAATGCAGTTATTCTTCATGATGATATACAACTATTTTGGCATAACACTTGGGGTGAAACAAAGCCTGCTAGTATAGGAGAGTCATTGCTGCATATTTAACCAACCATTACTATAGCAAGTCAGGCAAAGTTTTCTAGCTTGAGAAATCTTCAAGTTTCAAATTTCTGGAGGCTGGGACAGTGAGCTGGAGCACTCTGCTATGAGGTTACCATCTTCTTCTCTTCAGTAGCCAGCTGCTGGTGGCCACTGTCGGAGTTAAAACATGGGTCTTTTTTTAGATTTGCCTTTCTTAGGGCAATTTTTACGTCCCTTTCCTCTATGTACCCATCAAATTTGAAAGGTGAAGAAACCAAAGTCTTTTTGGTCCCTCTATATTTCTATGATAATTGAAACTGGTGGCTGATTGCTGGTGTATCTCTACAACCCCTACCACAGTGAACCACTGCTCCTACTGCTAGGCTGGTAGGCACCTTTAAATTACATGTGGGCAGCTCTGTAGCATAGAGCTCACGTGGGAGCATGTCTCACTGTCCTAGCGAGCTGGTCCTCCAGAGTGGGCACAAGGACAGGGTGCATCGCAGCTCTCTCTAGCCTGAAGTAGGTGCATCTCTTTCCCAGAGTTTGGGGATGACTGATGCACATTTGCAGCCTAATCTGTCATTTCCCTATTTTAAGTTCCTCTGTGGCTGAGACAGACTGAAGGTACAGAAATGGCCTTCTATGAGCTTAGTGACAACATAGACCTAAATTGGCTCTTTTCCGCTTCTACCAGTCCTATGAGTCATAAATATTGCTACGTTACTACAATACAGCAATTGCTTATACTCAACATCAATATCTCTGCACCATTAGACCAAATTCTTTTGGTCTAATGCAAAATCTATGAATGTTTCCTGTCAGAAACATACCAGATGTATGGTGTGGGGTCGTTCCTCCTTCCCCTAGACTAGCGTATCCAGATAGTTCCAAACTGTAGGGTCTGATTCCTGCTTATAATGATATTGCATTCCCGAAGTTGTGCAAAAGGACTAAAAATTAATATGAATGTACCTGCCATGTAGGTAAAGATATACAACTGAGTGGCTTTGGCATGAGCTAGATGAAAGCTCCAAAAGCACAAATCTGAAAACACAATTTACAATGCCACAGAAACGAAATTGAAGCTTAATTACCTATCAGACCACGGTTTTGTCATTCTAAATGGGAAATATTTCTTTAGAGTGTGGTGATTTCCTGTGTACATAGATGGCACTCTGTTTAAGCTTATCCAGGTAGCCAAGTTACAGGACCAAAAGTCCCAGACCAAAAGTAGGTTGTTTACTATGGAGTTGGGCCAGCTGGACTTCTATTCCAATGTAAGCTCTAATTCCTGACTTCTAAAATTAATTTGGGTTAAATACTTAAGTGTTTTCTGGCTGCCTCTTGTATAAATGTATCATAAAGATTAAAAACATGATCCCAACAAAAACAAGGTAAAAATAATAATTTGAGGAAATATGAAAACACTGGTCAGTTCACCCGGAGATCTGCTGCTTCTTTAGGCCAATTCGAGTTTGTAGAAGTCTTAAAAACCCCAAAGATTTTAAGAGAATACATGTATGTATATTTTATATCTAAGAATAGTAGAACATCTATTTAGTGTGACAAAGCGCTATTATATATCTATATTTAGCTTTTGCTTTTAGTGGGTGTTATCTGCTAATGTATATTTTGGGGAGTTTGAAAATCTAATGTTAAACTATGGTATTTTTCACTTTCTGTAAAGAATGGGCTTTTGATAACAAAAGAGGCAAAAAAATCCCTCAACCTGCTAAATGGTTCTTACTGAGAAATAGGATTGTCTCTTTCAAGGAGAAGGAGCCATCAAACTTTTAAATCCTACTTGCAAGCTTGTAATTTTATAGGGAAAAAAGAATCAAAAATCACTTTTGTAAAAAAAGTAAATTTCTTTCTAATTTGGAGAAATAAGTTCCACCAGGTTGCATTTCCTCATGGAGAGAATGCAATGACTGGCATAGGAAGTTTGCTGAAAACAAATTTTTTGATGGACATTTTCTGTCACCCTTTGCCATCACAGCATACATTTTCCTGTCACATAATATACGGTAATTATATGGATTTTCCTCTTTCCAAATCAGAGGAATGTTTCCTTACTTGAATGGAGGGGCCACAGACTACTAGTCAACCTAAAAATCCTGTTAGCATTACATCTCAGCATAAATAAAGAATTTGGATCAGTGCCTTGTTAGATCACTGCTATTTCTAGCTCACTGAGTAAAAAGAGCATTTTTTGCAGCCTAGTTTGATAAGTAAAAGGTGTCTTTCTCACCTGCGTGCACTCTGAATTGTCACTCTCATTCTTTGTTCCTTTGCACGCGGCTGTTGTCAGCTCCCGAGTCACAGAACCACTTGCAGGAATGGCTCGGGAGAGTTTTGGAAGAAAGGAAAGGGAAAAAAAAGAGCTGCATTTTTATTTAACAGGAGTAGGAGAACATAAAGAAAAGAAAGGTGTTCTCAAGAATGTAGCCTGCAGCCTTGTCAGGTAGCATTTCTTCAGATGGTTTTTTTCTCTCCCCTTTCCCACCCCAAGATCTCTCTTCATCATTTTTTTAAACATCTCTTCTGGGATAGAGACATGAAAGTGAATTGTGGGTCAAAGGCAAGAATTAGGGGTTGCCAGGGCTGCTTTCTGATGGCTTTACTTTATCTTTGTGTCCAAGCTTTTGCAAGTTAGCAGGTACTGTGGGTTATCCATTCCAGTCACATCATTTTCTGCTTGATGACAAGCATCACACCTTCATCCATCACATTTACATTTCAAACTGCCACACAGCTCTATTGATTAATTATTTAGCAGCTCTTGGCCACTTGTGAGTGTTCCTGTGCTCACGTTTCACAGAGAAGGTCCATTCTTTTTATTTATGTGCAGTTTTGTAAAGCAAAAAATAAAATAAAAAAAAAAGTAAAGCCTTTAACATACACACATCCCTGTAACCTGTGTGTGCATGCCTGTATATATGAAAACGTGTGTATATTTATGTGTGTGTGTGTGCACCCACGCTGGTACAATTAGGTGCACACAGGGAACAGAAGCAGGTAATCTGATCAATAAGCACATGCTTACACTGATAATAGATTTCTGAGTTTTCAGAGCAGTGAGCAGCAGATCAATGAGACCTTGCAGGTGTGTTGGAGCCGGGAATTGCATCAGCTACATCACGCTCCCCACAGACCAGTAGGGAATACAGACATTGTCCTCTGGGCTTTGTCACTTTGAGCAAAAACAGGTGGAGGGTTTTTGCAAGGGCCTACTGATAGCTGTGTTTCTTCTACATCACAGTCAGGAAAGTGCAGCCTCTGAACAGGACAGGAGGTCTCTTTCAACCTAGGGCTCATCTTACCCCAACAAATCACTCTATCTGTTTCTTCCTCAGTTCTCCTTTGGTGGAATGCAGAATGAGGATCTAATCTTATAGTCCTTTCGCTTGTTTGATTTTATCTGAGATAAAAATCCATTGTAACAATAAAATCTGTCTGGTCTAACCATAAATGAAAATCTAGGTTAGGTCAGAAATCTTTGTAAGAGTGATGTTTGGCCCTGCTTCTGATCCCTGGGGCACTCCTGGGCACTCTGCTTTGGCTTTTTTTCTGACCCACCACCACCTCCCACCCAGCAATTCCCACGAGAGCAATCTGTAATGCTTTGGTGTCTCACGTTGTGGTATGCTCCAGACTACCCCCATGATATTCATAACTACTTGTCTGAAGGTGCATTTTTCTAGAAGGAACAGCTGTAAGAAGAAAGCAAGGTGAAGTATTCCATGATGGGAAATGTTTTCAGTAAAGGCTTTGGAAAAATCTGATGTTCGTGACATCGTGCACTTATACTGGAGCAGAAAATGAAGTAATCTTGAATTCTAGAATAAATATAATATTTGGATCTGCTTTAATATTTTCTTCTGTTTTCATCTTTTACAAGTTTATTATGGATATAACCTAACAAATGTAAACAGAGTGATTCTTTTTCCTGTACTTAATTTTCAATAATTTTTGACTTATGCAAAGTCTGTTAAAATCAAAAAGAATATGCACATTACCTTAACAGACTCTGGATGAACCCCTAAAGAGCAGGGACCACATGGTTCTTATTGCTCCATCTCTTGCATTTCTGTCTTTATCCTTCAACTTGTAAAAGTAAATGCAATACCATTCACTTTTTAATGGGTGGAATTTGTTTCAGTATTGAACTATGTGAATAGTGTTAGGCTAGGTTTGGTCAACATATTTCTCTCAAAATTACTTGGTTTATTATAAAGTACATTGGGAACTTGGATCAGGCAAATGACTACACTATTTATATTTGCAGTAAAATATTACACCATTCAGACAATAAAACAAAACTATCTGCTTGGTCTACTAGTGTTGGTAGTACACTTTTAGCACACACAGAATAAATGATTGGGTCCATTCTATCAAGAGTATTGAAATAAAAAGTGAAGTCCTGGCTTGTGGTGGAGGATTTGTTTGTTTGGTCAAATATAATCCCCATCTCTGACTGCAGTTAAAGAAAATATTTAATATTTGATTTTTGCTATTAATTCACCTCTATTTTTGCTTCTCCTCCTGCCTCCTTTAGTCCCTTTTTTTCTCTATTTTAACAATAATGTAAAGTGAAAAAACGAACGACAGAATGTGAACCTTTAACTTATATAACAGAGTGGTTCCTCTCACATGAGTAAATTCAACAAGAAAGTAACAATACTAGTCCTATGGCAATACTTGACAAGATCAAGGACATTATTATCTAGATCTCTCTGTAGTACTGTTCCACTGTATAGATTCAAAACGAGAAGAACACCAAATGAAGCTCCCTCTCTAACATTGTCATCATATAGTACCTGAGAATATACTGACATCCCTTTTAATTTTTTTCCTTTATTTCTTTGAAATAACCCTTCTTTGTAGAATAACAGCGTATCTCTTATATACCTATTTACTCATCGATCCTAAAACTAGGAGCTGATACAGTGTCACAGATGATACAGCAGCGAAACTCTTCACACTTCTCTTTGTTTTTTGCTTGCTTCATCTCTTCATGTTCACAGTTAATAGGTTTACTCTGTCTAAAAAAAAAAATAAATACAGTAATTGGTTTGCCATAGGTGTGTTTAATTTGTATTGTCACAAATAAAAAGGAAAAATAGCACTTCATCTTTTTTTGGCTTAATGAGATGAGATCAGGAAAGTATTTTCATAATTGAAAACAAAGATTCTTTTAAATAAGGTCTTCTGTTAGGGAAGTGAGAACAATATAAAACAGACACCTTCCAGTGAACTCTTCTGTAAAATGGCAAGCTTGATAATAAACAAAATCAATTAGATTATGAGTGGACTCCTTACTTTACATAGACTAAAATACATAAACAAAAAATTCTGAATATTTGACAGGATTACACAGGCTCTAATTCTAAGTTATGCCATTTCTGACTCCATAAATACTAGCCAGCACATCCTGCTACTGCCACTAATGAGAAAAGTCCCAGGAAATTATGAGAGACAAAAAGTTGTTCTTCATATTATCTATGGATACAACATTACTTTACCATTTTGTGAAGGAGTAAATATTCAGCTATTACTGAGAAGGTGGTCAGTTGCATCATCAAAATTAGCTGATTTTCACTTGGTGACTAGAGTTCATTAAAGACGAACATCCACATCTTATTGTCAATCCTTTTCTGCAAAATAATTATTGTTAATCGATTTTGATATAAAGGTCAGAGAAGAAGAATGCTATGTCTTCTGCCAAAGCCTGGTCATTCAGTCAACACAGAGAGCAAGTACAGTATTTTCCAGAGGAATTAAAAAGACAGAAAAATAAGCAAATAACCAAACAACAAAATGGCAAGTCATAGATCAAGCTAACAGAGCAGTGCTGCTGTCTGTGAAGGACAGCATTCCTGCTTGACTTCCCAGCACATGGAGAATTTGATCTTACTTTATTAGTCAAGCAGGACACATGTCTGCCTTTCCAGTGCACCCAGCAGTCCAAGAAACATAGCACTGGTACCATCTGTTATGGTAAAAGCATTAACAACTACTCTTTCCAGCCATGGAACCCTATTTATCAGGTGGTCACCTGTAGCAGCAAATCCCTTAGGTTGACCACATGTAACACAACTAATTTCTTTCTAAATTTTCCTCTAAACTTACTTTCTCATACCATTTAATGTCACTGACTTCCCTCTTGTTCATAAATAATGTGACGGGAAAAAAAGAAGGTCATGACTCATGGTTTAATTAATCACACCTAATTAATCACACCTTTAGGAGCCTCAAGTAGGTACAATGCTGAGAAACAGACTTCCTTGCTGTGCCTTTTACATGTAATATTGACAGAGAAAAGGGAAAGTGCTCCTGTCCCTCTGGGGTGTAACTCTCAACCATTGCTTTGCTGGAGGATCACCGCAGGATTGAACAGAGGAAAAGTTTTTGGGAAGCAACGACCTCACAGGACTGCACATCTCTAGTGCATTCCTGCCCTTTCTATAGAAAGGCTTGCAAAACATGCTGAAGTCATTGATCCATAGGTGCACAAAACCAGCTGTTTGAATATTGTCTGTATTAACATTAATCTGGCTAAAATGCATAAACAAAAACATGCCTTGGCTTGTGGGGTGAGTTCCTCCTAGGTAACTGGGTCCTGTACCTGCACTGCAGGAAAAAAAGAAATTATGGTGTGTCTCTTGTTTTTTCCCAGACTAATAAACCTTACATTGTTTCCTAAAATATTGCATGCCCCCAACAGAGAGGGAGCACTCTGATTCAGAGCCTTGTGTCTAAGGGGTGCCACTGTAAGGTGGCAGTGACAAGGCTAACTGCTCTGGGGCTGGAAAGAGAACTGACCTGGAGTGTCCTCATAAGTGAAACATTGCCTAAACCATCACTAGACTGTTAGATAAAAAATTAGTTTACAACATGACTACTGTGACTGTGATAATGCTGCAAAAGACAAGAATGGCGTTATTGATTTATTTGAATTTAATATTGTTAGTGCCAGCTTGAGGAGAGGACTCCAGGCCCCAAACTGGCTAGGGACCACTTTGCTTAAAAGTGCTATGATTACAGATAGATGCTGGAGCTGGGGCATGGACCTTGTGCTTTCCATGTCCATCCGTTTTGCTTCTCACTCTGAGATTTCTGCCTTTCCCTGCAGTGTTCAAAAGACAACAAACACCAGGGTCTGCAGTCACTTCTGCGAGCTGGTGCTTAAAAACGGTGCACAGTGCATGCCTAGACCTCCAGGGAGCTGGCCATTAGGCTTGCCTTCAATAATCCTCTCTGGGGACAAAGAGAGACTGTCACCATGGATAGACAGGGTGCAAGGTACATGGATGTAAGTTCCACTTCCCTCTAGTTTACCTATCACCAGCAAAAAAGATCTCTTGAAAGGAAGAAAGTACTCTAGACCCTACTGAACTCTAGATGTCATTGCTTTGACTTGATGAGAAAGACACATCCTGGAGTCCAGTATTCTGGTGGCATACGAGGTCTTTTTCCTCCTCAGCTAGAACTGGGACTGAGTTGTGAGCTGAATTTCACACTCAATACAGTGATCCAGTAAGATAGTGACTTGATGTTTGGTGTTTATCTTCATTTGGCAGTGCAGTGGAAAATGTTTCGTACTTAACTTCACATAAATGACACAGGTACAGCTTCGTGAAAAATTCTACAGGAGCAGTAGCAACTGCATACAGCTTTTAGGCTAAGGATTAGCTGCCTTTAAAGAGGCTGCCGTTGCTAAATTGAGAACTGATTGCAATACCTTCTTGTCTCTTTTTTACCTCAATCAATAATTTTTAGGGTTCAAAATAATCAGTGCAATAATTCCTCCACGGAAACAGTCATGCAGTGATGAATTACATATTCCAGTCTGCACAGTGTGAAAGAATAAAGGCAAATTTTGAACAAAACTTGCTATACTGAGGCAAAATTTGTTTCTCTGTAGCTGACAGTTATGTGTCTTTGCTGCTTTGCAAACTTTAATACTTAATGGGAATAAGCTTTGGTAACACAACAGACATAAAGAAACCTGACAAACCAATTGAAAACTCAGCGATATGTGTCCTGCATGTGCCTTTAAATACTATCAAAATTGAATTTGACTAGACTTGCTCAAATCAGACCCATTATCAACAACACATTGTCTCAGGAGACCAACCTTTGTCCAGTTAGGGCTTCCTTCATTAATCGTCCAGCATCAAGCAAGCCAAATCCAAATCTGTGGAGAAAAAGCAATTAGATATTTTAAGCAGTGATAAGAACACCACAAATAATCAATTTCTATGGCATTAGAAGCTACCTGGCCCAGAAAAAGTCTATAAAAGCTAGAATTTATTGCAGAACACCAGACAGCTTACAGAGCATTGATTCTTAGTAGTATGCATAGATTGCTGGATTTAAAGAGAAATCCCTAATGGTTCTTACTTTTAATTTTTGCCTTTTAAAGGGAAAACAAGGATAAGGTGTTCATAAGGCCAAACTGCAGCAAACCAAATATTTAATGACTGCTAAACAGAATTTGTTTACCTTTCAGAAGAATAGAATACTACCACACTGTTTGATGGCAATTATATGTAATCTAATGCATAAGCTTCAAAAGAGATGAGACACTAAGCACAATCACAGTATTCTATGGTTAGAAAAATATACTAATTGTGCTTTTTTTAAAAAAAAGTATTTATTGCACCTGAGAAGCCAACAGACTAGAAATCATTTTTGCATTTGTTCCACTTGTGAATCTTTAGGCTTGAAAGCCTTCTATTCCTCCATAGCAATCTCATACTGGACTATTTTAATCTGCATTAACCTTTGTGGTTTGTATCTACTTATAAAAACAAAACAGAATGCAGTGCAAAACCTAGCAGGCAAAACATTATTGTCTACAGCAGACAACAAAGTCTTGAAACATATTTAATCTTAATATTCGCAAAAGACAATTTCTGTATATAGATGTTATAACTGATCTTCAAATGTGAACCAAAACATATCCAAACTCAGGTTTAGGCCAACAGGCTGAGAAATCAAAAGGGACTTGGGCGATTGCCTCATATGACCCCCCATATATGTACACTAGAATCTTTCCCCAGTTGGGGATGGAAGTTGGATTAAACAATGTCTTTCAGAAAGTTGTCTAAGCTTCTAAAATCTCATTTTAAAGACTCCGAGATGTAGTGAGTCCACCTCTTCCTTGGGTAAGCTCTTCCAGTGTTTAATTACCCTTACTGCTAGGAAACGGTGTCTTATTTCAAGGTTGAATTTGTCTAACTTAGCATTCAAATACTGAAAATGCAGAGTGTTTGAGAGAGAGCAAATATAAGTGGCATGATACACTTTATACTAATCCTAAATCAAAAGATTATGGAAATATAGAAAACATGACAACTAAAGCTCTATTTTGGCAAACATTTATGCAAGGGGGTAGCTGTCTGCATAGGAAATGGTTTTCTTTCAATTTTGCAAGCTTACACGTGTGTAAAGTTACACCAGGGTTTAAAATACAAATCAAAAAGAGGCATCTGGAGTGACTTTTGCTGCAAAAAATATTAGGCATTAATTAATAAATACAACTTCACTCTGTACTCATTCTAAGCTGCCTTTGCATCTGCTTATAAGTACTAGAAGAAAAAGTGAGAAAACTTCCCATTGCAGAAATCTGATTTGCTGCTGTAGGGGTATGGCTGCTAAAATCCAAACACAACCGAAGAGGGGAGAGAGTCAAAAAAAAAAAAAAGAGGAGAGTTGTCAAGATAATTAAAACTTTGCAACAATTCAGTAGTGGTGCTGATAAAAACAGCACTGCTGGCTGAATGCAAATAAGATGGTAAAGGCCCTGTTTGGATTATGGTAATTACACAGTCTGAAGTTAGCTCCAGCCACACACACATATGAGCACACACATACACACACAGCAGTGGAGTGGAACCTGACAACCATACTTGGCATGCGATCATAAAATTCCCTGGCACGCTCTCAGGATGCCATGTGGAGCTATTTGTACAGTTAGGTACGGAACTCTGGAGCGCAGGAAATACCAGCGGAAGCACGGCTGACCCGCCTGGCCTTCAGCAAGAGCCTGCCCCCCCTGCTTATTGCTGGCCCAGATTCAAAAGTGATCTCTGGAGAAGGCAAATCAATCGAACACATGTTTGGTCTAAAAATGTCATTTTGGAATATGTTAAGATATTTCCTTACATTAGACCATTTTGTTTGCCCCAAAGATTTGTCAAGTGCAATTGAATGCATACACATCACAACGCATGCCAGTGCCAGAACAAAATAATTTCAGTGTGTCCTTTAGTACTCCGATAAAATGCAGGCAGTCGGTGTTGAAACGAGATGCCCTATGAAAGTCTTGTGTGCACTTGCATTCTGCATTTCTTCCAGGAACTTGTTTCTTTAAAATTTGGGATCCATCCAAATGAGCAGATTTTGTGTAAGAATGAGGAAGAGGACCAGCTCAACCTCTCCTCTTGCCTCCTAGACGGAGGACTTGAGGCAGGCTAATTTATGTGATGAAAAACCATTAGAGAAATTACAGTTTCCAGCTCTGATTCCTAAATAATAAAGTGTTTATGAGGACAATATCAATACAAATAACCCTATTAATCCATTTATTCAACTTTGAACCAATTCTGATATATGACAAAGATATGTTTCTTCAATAGTTTTCACAAGTTAATATTAAATAATATTGGCACACGAATCATTTTTATTACTAAGTTCTTTGATTTGCTCAGACTCCTCACAGTCTCTGCAACTGTGTGTTTTATGACCTGCCCATCACAGGAGAAACTCCCATTAGCACCAGAACACAGC